TCACTTTATTCCCGATTACCAAACAATACCTTAATATATTTTTTACAACTTAAGTTTTTTTTAAACATATTTTTGAACATGTACACGGTATGGTAATGGTGTATAAAAAAGTATTTAGATCATTGATTTTATTAAAAATTAATCATGCATCTACACATATAACACCAATTATTTCATATTAATTATTTTTAATATTCTAAATTTAATTTATTTTAAATAAAATAATATTTTAAAAGAACCACCTAATATTTCAAATACATGTTTTTATACGTAATATTATTGATTGTTTTGTGTGTGCGTGTGTGTCTATATATATATGATTAGTTTTGTTGAAAATTAATTATACATCTCCATACGTAACACCATTAGTCTCTTTGATTCAAAAACTAATTATTTTATCTTTTTTTTTCAATTTTTTTAATTTTTTGTTTTAAGAAATAGAGAAAGAATAATAAAAAAAAGTAAAAATATGAAAAAAGACATTTTTTAAAATAAAAAATAAATTATTCATGGTCAACACTAATTAAATAATTAAATAATTTTTAAAAAAACCAAAATAATTAATTCATTCTTTTTAAAAAACAAGAAGAACTAATTTATAATTTAATTTGTAATTCAAGAATCTCTTTCATCATAAATTAATAAGTAAAATTTATGGGAACCAATTTTGTAATAGCTTTTATTTCAATTTATTGACTTTAATATATTCCATACAACTTAGATTTTTTTATTTTTTATTTTTTAAAATAGTTATACTATATACTCTGAATCTACTAAGTATGATATATATATATATATCATTAGTTTTGTTGAAAATTGATTATGTATCTACATACATAACATCATTAGTCCATTTGGTTCACAAACTAATTTTTTTTTATCCTTTTTGTTATTTCAATGGTTTTATTTCTTGTTTTAATAAATAGAGGAAGAATAAAAAAATTAAGTAGAAATATAAAAAAAAACATTTTTAAAAATAAAAAATAAATTATTTGTGGTCAACACTGATTAAAAAAATTAAATAATTTATTTTTGAAACCAAAAGAATTAATTAATTCAATTTTCAAAATGAGATGAACTAATTTATAATTTAATTTACAATTCAAGAATCTTTTTCATCAAAAATTAAGAAGTAAAACTTAAGGAAATCAATTTTGTAGTAGTTTTTATTTCAATTTATTGACTTTAATATTCCATACAACTTGGATGGTTTTTTTTTAAAAAAATTATTTATACTATATACTCTAAATCTACTAATTATGATCATATATATATATATATATATATATATATATATATATAACAATGAATTAGCTTAGGAGTTGAGGTGAAAATGGGAAGGGTTTTGGGGAGAGAAATACGTGAGAAAAAGGAGAGGAGAAAGAAAGGAAAAATGCTGGAAATAGGAGCAATTATCGCCCTTATTTATACTAGCTTGAATTTTTCTTTTTTTAGGTTATTACAAAAATATTGATTTTTAAACATAAAAAAAGAATAAATAACGGATAATTCATGTTCATGTTATGTGTGTAGATACATAATTAATTTCTAACAAAACTAATTATATATATATATATATATATAAGATTTTAATCCATTGATATTTGAATTGTGAAGTTTTATGTGTAGTTAATGATGATATTGATATGCAATTGCTTCGAGTTTATCGAATTGCTTGAGGAATTGATTAGATTAAGGTTAGGATTTTGAGACTCATTTGGGAAAAAGTTTGATTAAGTGATCCTAGGTGTTTAATTATCTTGAGCAAGTGAATTATGGAGTTAATATGCAGTAAAATTGAATGAATTTGAGAAATTAAGAGGCTAAAGATGATGGATAGTGACAAATTCGAAAATTGGGGAAAATGAGGAATTAAGCTATATATATGCAATTCAAGATTGACGGAATGAATATTTGATAAATTAGAATGTAATTGATCATTTGAATTGAAAATTCATGATTAAAGTAAGAATTAGTGATGATGAGATTTAGTTAGTCGTGGATTAGAATCAATTGAAGGATTATAGGATTTAGTCGGATCATCGGATCGAGTCTTTCCAATCGATTTTGTTTTTATTTGATAATATTGTATTTTAATTATAGAATAATTCTTTGTTGGGATAATGCCTTATTATGTGATATTGATGGATGATCCATCATTTTGTGATGATAAATTCTTCGAAGCGAACAACTCCATTACAACCTTAATTTCATTCGAGTTCTTCAAATTGTACTTGTAAGTGAATATTATATAGTGTATTGTGCTTTAATTTCTTGATTATGTTCATTCATGCATTATTGTTTAATAATGATTTACAAGCAATTCTATTAGTACCTAGATGGGAACGAGACATCATAAACTTTGAACTCGTTTTCGTTTCAAAATGACTTGGTATGAGTTAAAATAAGATTTGAATGTGCAAAAGGATTGATATGTGTTTTTGAATTTGAACATGAATATGTTATATGTGTTATTTTAAGTATTCGTGTAATTTTCGAAATGCATGCATGATATTTGAAACATCGGTTCGAAAAATATATAAGTGTATTTGGTTTTCGAAAATATTTTTAAGACCCTAGGGAACCTAGCTATCGGAGAGTAGCCTTTAAGCTCAATGATACGAGGCTCCATCCAGCAGGAAAGGTGTAGTGCTAGATCGTATGTTGGCCTAACGAAAACCTAGTGACGAAGGCATGACCTTTGGGTGTTTGCATCCAATGATACGTTACTACCTCACGGGTGTATAAAAACCTATATATGTGTGTTTTCCTATGAATATGATATATGTATGATATGTGTTTCAATGAATTAATACGGAATGGTTTTGAATCATTTGATTTGTAATATGAATTATGTTTTCGATATACATGTGTTTGAGAAATAAGCATTACATTTTGACATGGATTTGAGAATATCATTCGTAGTTCGCTTTTCTTCCTTAGTATATTATATAATGTCTACTCATTGAGTCGTGGTTTAATCACCTCTCATTATTTCGGTTTTGCAAGATATTGAAGGATTTGCCATTGCTTCTTTTGGCTTATCTTTCGTGAAGTTGGCACATTGATCGTGCGACTTATTCTTTTTAAATCTCTTAGAGCTTATGTTTATTCACTTAAATGTCAATTAAATATTTTTAATTGATATTTTTTGAATTAAATAGAGTGAATACTCCGTTTTGTGCCTGGCTCATTGCCATCTCTAGATATGAGCGAGCTACTAACTCTGCCCATTGAGTTATTATTTTTTAGACAATATTGGTGGCGTGTCCTTATATCAATAAATTATTTTTAGGGTAATAAATTCTTTTAAGTATTGATTTCTTGATTCAAATTATAAAAATTAAGAGAAATGACAATATATATATATTTTTTTACCAGCAGACCTGATTTGAGATTAACTTACACTGACATATACGAAAGTAAATTATTTGCTATATATATAAAGTATGGGGAATCATAATTAAATGATATTTCCCATGCTTCGCTTGCGACGGAATCTTTAGCAGATTTGGAATAGATTTTTTAATCTTATGCATTCAATGCGGGCCAACTCTTGTTTTTTCACTTTAAATTAATAATTATGTTTATAAAATCCTTTAACATGTAATATAAAAAAATTTCTCAACGATGTGTTTTCATACGTGGGGGAAAAGAAGGAGTAATATTGATTAAAATCAAGATTACTGTATTATTGTTGATTTTGAGGTTTCAGACTCTTTGGCAAACTCCGGCGTTTTGCTCGAAAGTAACAAATAGTAAATATATGGAACAGAATTTATTTGTTCAAACGTATCAAATTCACACAAAAACATGTTTATATATATATATATATATATATATATATATATATGCGCGCGCAGCATATTAGAGTTATAGCACAAAATGTTCTCAATAAAGAATGTACAAAAAGCCAATATATATATATATATATATATATAGCGAATATCTTCTAGTTATAGTACCATTGATAAAATACAAAAGAGGAGATTCGAATCGCTAGAGTGGCGTGTTCGTAAAAACAAAGCTCTAAAATATGAAAATTGAGAGAGTGAGAATTGTTATTATAAGATAATATCCTAAGATTCTTTTAATCTAACACACAAACAATATAAACGCAATATTAAAATTTTATCCCAAATGCTATTAACCAACTTTGCTTACAGCGGTCTTCACGTATTTTACTTTAAGTTAAAGCACCAAATTAACTTCGTTGTCAAGTCTGCCATACTCAGTGAAAAAAACATATAATATATTACCCAACCATTCAATAAAAGAAAAAAATATTATCACAGGTATACAGCTAATAAATAAATAAACTAATAGCTACATTCAATAAAAATTAAATGATGCTTGACCTGTCGAGTAATAAAGCAATATTAAAGGCCGTGGGTGGGGGTTAATCTGTTCATTTGGGCATTTAATTTTATACAGAAGGAGAAAGGTGGGAATATAAAAAATCATGCCAGAGGAAAGAAAATTTAGGAAAAATAAATAAACACATATTTCTACCACTTTTGATTAAAAAGGAAAAAGAAAAAGAAAAAGAAACATTGTACCACGTAGATCTGAATCTGATTTTAACTTGGTCTATCATAGTTTGAACACTATAATTTAATCCCTTAACTCTTCTTGACCATTAGCTTTTTTAAACATTTGTCGGATTCTTTTTAAATTCAAAATGTTCCATTTGAAAATTTAAGGTAAAAAATAACATAAGTGGGAGTTTAGAAAACAGAAAATTAAAAAGTTTAAATAAGATAAAGATCAACAAGTCAGGAGACTAAGTTATAGGCTTTCAAACATAAAGGATTAAATTGCAATTATGTTAAAAATTCAGGGAATAAAGATTAATTTATAACTTTAACTATTATTGTTATGGGCTCATCTTGCATGCCGGCAATTGATACTTTTTGTATAAATACGTGGTGCATGCATCTTCTGGCAGTATCAATCAGCCTCTTCAATCCAATCTTCTGTCACTCCCATACTTTGATAAAATGTGGCACATTGGTATTTATGTTGCAGCCTTGGTTTTAATACCCATCGCTCACCACTGGATGCGCAAATGGAGGAACCCTAGATGTAATGGGAGGCTCCCTCCAGGTTCTATGGGCTTGCCACTTATTGGAGAGACTATTCAATTCTTCATACCCAGCAAGTCTTTAGATGTTCCTACTTTTGTGAAAAAAAGACTCAAAAAGTAAGTTTGGAAGTTTCCGGTGTTTCATGCACGATATAAAAAATTTATCGTATTTTATTTTAATACAAATACTCTAGTACATGATTCTAATTTATGTATGATTGTCCACATCTATGATCACTCTCTATGTATAGCTATGGCCCAATTTTCAAAACAAGCTTGGCTGGTCGACCAGTGGTCGTGTCATCAGATGCTGATTTCAATTATTTTATTTTTCAACAAGAAGGGAAGTTGGTAGAGTTATGGTATATGGATTCCTTTGCTGAGCTTCTTGGTCTAAACAGTTCACTTCGAGATGGTTTACTAGGATATGTTCACAAGTACCTCAAAAAATCGGTGGCTGAACATTTTGGTCCTGAGATCCTCAAAGGAAAGGTCCTTCCTCAATTGGAAGAAATGGCCAGTCGGACTCTAGATGCTTGGACAAGGCAGGAAGTTTTGGAAACGAAACATGCATGTTCAGCGGTTGGTCAATTTTTCTCCTCTCTTTTCCATGATTTGAAGGCTTTAATTTGGTCTAGCAGAAGATTCCCTTAATTTGTGCATATCCTAAAAATGGTTCATTAAATACTTCTGTCACATCTGGCACACATATGTCTGTTTGCTATTTAACCACCACTGATGTGTGCGTGTTTGATAGTAAGATGTTAGTTAATCAAAGTGCATATGCTTTTACAAAAATGCTTAATTTTCAATTGAAAAAAATATCAAAATGGTGTTTTGTAAGTATTTTTTCGATTGTTTTCACACACACACATATATATGTGTGTGTGTGAAAATAAATTTGAATATTTTTCTAACAACACTTTCAAAAGCATTTAAAAGGCACAGTCAAAAGGTCTTATGGATTTATTGATAGGAGGGTCAATTCAAAATAGAACACATATCGTACAAATACGATATTTGCAAAAGAGACAGCGTACAAAGTCTGGATTAGAAAATCTGAAAGAATAGCAGGAGGACCAACCATGACTTAAAATCCTAGCATTTTTCTTCATTTTTTTATATACATTCTACTTAGTTGTGCATTTTTTTTTTTTTGGTGCCTCAGATGATATTGAATTTCACTTCAAAGTTGCTGTTTGACTATGACCATGAAAAATCCAAAGAAAATCTAAGCGAAACACTTACAAGCATAACCCAAGGGCTGATGTCCTTTCCTTTGAATATACCTGGCAGTTCCTTTCACAAGTCTTTACAGGTACTTTAGATTAATTACATCTTAATTTGAAATATTAATTTGTGTTTATCTTATTATTATTATTATTATTATTTTGCTTTATATATTTTACCAAAGGATTGGTTTTTTAAGTCTCAGTTTCCATCTACAGAATCGGAAGAAACTTTTGAAGATGATAAGGGATATGATAGAGGAAAGACAAGCATATCCTGAAACAAGGAGAGGGGACTTCCTTGACCACCTTATAGATGATATGAAAACCAATAGTTTGTTGACAGAAAATCTCATTACTTATGTCATCTTTGCTCTTCTGCTTGCCACTTCTGAGACCATCCCGACAACGTTAACTTTAGCAATTAAGTTATTGACCGAGCATCCTCTAGTGGTACAAGAATTAATGGTACACTCGAAGACACCAACCAAGTCTACCTTAATCGTGATTTCATTTTACTATGAATTCTTTATATTTAGTTAAACAATGTTTTAAATTAGAATTTAGTTCTCTAATTGCTTTTGATTTTGGATGTTCTTATCAGAAAGAAAATGTGGAACTTATTTGCGGCAGGGAAAGTTCGGAAACTGGAATTACCTGGAAGGAATACAAATCAATGACTTTTACAATGCATGTAAGTCAGTACGTAGAAGAAGAATTGAACCCTAATTTTGTTTCCAGGGCAGAAGAGGATCTGCAGGGGCAGCCTCCACCCCTCACGAAAGCCTCTTCTAAAAGAATTAATGTACTGAGAAAAGATTAATTTCTTTCTTATTATCGGTCCTTAAAAATGATCACACCTAAAAGTTATATTTATTAGCTATCGAGGTGTTCCTTTTAGGACCATGATATATTTTACATTGAACATCTCGTTTCTTCTCGTTATTTTGAACAATGTTTTTAGTTTATCGAATTATATATTACCCAGAAAAAAGAAAAGAAAAAAAATTTAGCATCCATCCCTTTAATTTGCTTCCCTCTATGTTACGTTTTCTTTTATTTATTTGGTTCGTTTGAAGATACAGGTTATCAACGAGGCACTGCGAATGAGCGGTTCAGCGGGTATATTAAGAAGAACAATCGAAGATGTTCACATAAATGGTATGCATGCGGATCACTTTTTGTTAAGGTCAAACGGTACAACTTTTATTTTTTTATTTTTTTGAAATTTAAATCATTTGAAAATTAATTTTTTTCATTTTTAATTTCCATTTAAAATTTGTTTGTGACTATTTTTTTATTTAAAATTAAATCTTTCTTTTCTGTTTTTGTCAATTTTAATATAAAAGTGTAGTTCTGTAGTGGTTAAAAATATGCCAAAAAAAGTTTTGCTTCTTTCTCCTGAAAACTAAAAAACTAACAATTAAATGACATTTTAAAAATATAAAAAATAATTTTCGAAGAAAAATAAGTCACATTTTTAGACGGTGAATTGACATAAGCATAAAAAAAAAAAAAAAACCTAACTTTAAATGAAAAATAATTAGAAAGAGGTCTAATCCAAGGTGAAAAACTAATTTAAAATTTAGGAAAAACTTGTATCATAGGGTCGATGAGATGAGACACATATACTTATAGATTGTTATTAGGTAGTGGACATTGATGATTATTTATAATATTAATATATATTTTGTAAGTAAATGCCACAAATTTTACTTCGAGTTCTGATTAAACACTCCATGTTTTGCAGGATATATAATTCCAAAAGGCTGGGCAATTCTAGTCATCCCATCTGCTCTTCATTTGAACCCTGACACGTTTAGAGACCCTCTTACCTTCAATCCATGGCGATGGAAGGTAGTTATTTTTACTATCTAAACAAATGAATCATAAAAGTACCAGAGGATTGCACATAATCCAACATGACTTTATGGTGTATCCACACACACATATATATATATGGGAGCTAGGTGGTAGAATAAGTTAGCTTTTAATTATCTTTTGTGTATTGAGAGCTAATTGGAACATTTGAACAAAAAAATCTAAATAAAAAAAAACGTACAGGATTTGGAAGCAAATTTAAGTGCGAAAAATTTCATACCTTTTGGAGGGGGAATGAGGTCATGCGGTGGAGCAGAGTACAGTAAAGTGTTAATGGCAGTATTTCTGCAAGCCTTGGTCACTAAATATAGGTAATTAATTTCCGTGTCCCCCTCTTTCATATAAGATTAATTAATTCCTGCATTGAATGCTAATGCTGTAACTTTGGTGATTTTGCTCAGGTGGACCAAGGTGAAGGGAGGAGAGATTGTTAGGTCACCAATTTTGGGATTTGGAAAAGGGTATTATATTGAGGTCTCAAAAAATGCCGAAAGTGATCAAAGCATCGAAGGGTAATATCAGATAAATATGTGGACAACGAACAAAATTTGGGAGGAAAAAATTATTTACACAAAAAATAAATAAGGTAAGACTAAGGACCAAAAAAACTTGAAAGGAAGTAAATCACTGCATCTTGCAAAACGGAGTCGCGGTTGCACGGGATTTGGCAGTGAAAAGAAATATGATTTCTTTAAATGTATTTTATTTAGAGTTATAGTGAGATTGGCAATAAAATAACTATTAATTTTCTTATTAGAATTTTTGTCTAGCTGGTAAATTTTTCTCTATAAGCTGAGAAAATCCTAGCTTTGTATTTTGTTATATTCAGATCAACCATTTATCCACGCGTAAGTGTGTATATTTTGTATTTTATGTCATTATTATATATAGATATTCACCTGTTAACCAACATTACCGCGCTAAAAGTCTAAGACACATGAATGAAAGATTAAAAAAACCAAAAAATAAAACAAAGAAAGGAAAAAATAACCTCATATGTCATGAATATAACTTTTATTTCGATCAAAATTGTGGCACTCATTGTAAACCTGCAATATATCCAAGCAATTTATGCAAAAGAAATATATATATATAGGAATGAAGTTTAATTACCTGATAGGCTGATATGAAAATGAATGCTTGCGGTAAGCAATTCAATAACAGTACTAACGCAATTAATGTCTTCCCTTTTGTGTGCGTATATTTTTTTCACCAAGAATTTAACTGTATCCTTCCCTAGTTTAAGAGACATAATCATCTTTTATCTTTTTTTTTTTATACATTCAAAGTAGAGGCAAAGTTTTATACAAACCTAGTTCCTCTTACAAATTTTAGGAGTTACAACTTCACTTATGTCTTATAAAAAAAGGCTAATGTAACCGGTTAGGGTAATAGAAAAATACGAAATGCTTAAAGAGAGTAGACATGATTAGCAAGCCAATCAGCTGTGTGGTTCATTTCCCTATAGGTGTAAGTTACTCGAACTACTCAAGGTCTTTGAAGCATTCTACGTATAGTAATAACAAAATAGTTATAAGCCCCTTGATGACTGTCAGTAGAATGTAAAGACCGAGCTAGAGTCAGTTTTTAGAAAGACGTGTCTATAGCTCAAATTCCACGTCATTTCTAAGCCGATCACGATACCTCAAAGTTCAGCACACAAAACAAAACAAACCCCAACATGATAAGAAAAACCATAAAGTCAGATACCTGCATTATCTCGAAGAATTCTCCTAACTGTAGCAGTGCCAATCGAACCACGCAAGGCTCCATCAATATTAAGTTTCATCCAACCAGGTGGTGGTTTAAGCCAACTTATAAAAGCCTCTTGTTTCAAACATTTTGGTTTACCTAGGAGTGGCACCATGTCCATACTAGCTGTAATTTGACTAATATAAGTGAAAATTACCTTCAAGTCTCGTTTGGTTATTAGGAATGAAAGGTTCGGATTGAAAATACAGAAATCAAAATGAAAATTAGGAAATTAGAATGGCATTTGTATTTTATACTCGTATTTGGAATACTAATAAGAAATCAAAATGCAATTTAAATTTTTTAATATCTGATTTTTTATATAAATAAAAATAATAATTAAAAGAATAATTTTATCAAATTATAATAGTTGTAAAAATAATAAAGATGATGATGATAGTGTTTATGGTTGTGGTGGTTATAGTAGTAGCGGTGGTAGTGATTAATATATATATATATTGAAAGAAAATTTCATTTTCATTTCGTACTTTTATTCCCACTTTTTAAATGAAAATGAAATTGTGTGTAATTTTCATTCTCATTTTCATTGTATTTCTTTCAACAAAATAGCTATAATGTGAAAATAAAACTTCTATTCTTATTATCACTATTCTATTCTTGATAACTAAATAGCACCTTAAAGGTTTATTAGGATATATAAAACTCTCGTAAAAAGAGCTCTTGTTTTAGGACCACAAAAACTAACAACAAGCACCAAACTATATACTCCAAGATATAGCTTCTGAAGTTAGTGTTTGATAACTCTACAGTTTTAACTAGAACCAATCTAGAAGATTTAAAGAGAAATTGTAGTTTACCTGAGAAGCTCCATGGTACATCCAGATTTGGCATAACCACTCTCTCGGAACAAGAGACATCTAGAGATTCATGCAACGTCATTGTTTGTCGGTAAGAAGTTAAGTTTTTCACGATATGATTCTCTACGAATGTTTCAAATGTCAAATTAGGTCCCATTTACCCATAGTATTAATTGTTTGTGTCAAGTTAAGTTTTCCACGAAGAAAATGTTATTATAGCAAGTTTAAATGGACAGGAACGGAAAACCCATACTCCGTATTAAAGGTTGTTAATTAATTTATTAGGTAGGTGTCCCTTCCCGCCCATACTGTCCGATCCTAACATTCATTAGCAGAAGAAGGAATCCTGCTGGATTCGGGAGAGTTGTTGGACAATGAATTAAAGATCTATGCTACAAATTAATCTCAGTCAAATATGTTGTTCTGGATAGGATTTTTTTTTATTTTTTGAACAATGAAAGTGTTCTCCGATCGATTTTTACGTATTTTGAAATCAATTTTTTTCTGAATGTGATTACAAACATCTCGATTGAATTTTTTTCCTTGTACATGCACCACACGGATAACACCCGACGACCAATTGCTTATCTTCAGGTTATATATGCTAGCTCCTCACTTGATATCTAGACATCTATTTTTTTTATATGTTTTTAATTAATTAAACTTGTCTAGACTTGCCTATATGAAAGAATGAAGCTGAAGCAATTGATGCGAATCTTTTAAGCTGGAAATATGTTGTTATTTTTCTTTGCCAACCTCCTACTATATGGATGTTTCACAAAAAAATTAAGTGTTTTTATTTAATTAACTGTGATGATGCTGCTACAGTCGGTTACCCTATTCTCTTTGCAAATTAACCAGTCGACACTGCACTTTAGGCAGATAACAGAGCCGATTTCCAGCACAAAAGAAACCACGCATAAGTAAGGTATTATAATTTGTCAAGTAAAATTTAATACTTGAAAAGATTTCCATAATTGGGTGTAAATGTAATGTAACTGAAGAGGCTGGGAATATATATACATAGACACACATGCTACAGCTTATCATGAGGAGACTAGAGCTAGTTTTCCCTCCGCTAGGCAGGAAACTAGGAATCTGGATCCACTTTTCCCTCTTCTATTTTATTGGACAGAAACTAGCTATTGATGAGCTCTGCTATTTGACAAAGTCTGAAATTTGCCATTTTAATGGAGTGGAGAGATAAGCCATTCATGAGTTCTGCTTATATCCAGATTCAAGCATACCATTTTATGCTTCTCCATAAAAAATAATAAATAAATAAATAAATAAATCCTACTATATGGGCCAACAGTTTCTTATCATTACTGTATATTGGGCCAAATACTAGAGGTTGAGAGAAAAGATTGGACACACGGCCTGTTTTGAAAATTTTCTAACATTTTCTTCGATTTTAGTTGATCCCGGCATGTTGGTTCATTTTAACACCTCTGATCAAAGAGTACGAAAAAAATTGATGGATAATGTTTGGCAGCACAACAAATTTGAGATGTTCTCTTAGAAATATCATAGCCTGTTACATGCCGCCGAAATTAGTGTCTTTTATAGTATTGGAACTCTTCCCTGATGTATTTTTTTTTTTTTTTTGGATCTCAAAATAAACCTAATTCTCGAGAGTTTTAGAATTTCGTTAATATTTTGCAATCCTTCAATTCTCCTCGAGTGGTAAATTTCCTCATTCGTAAATTACTCTCAAGCTGAGGATTCAAGACAATAAATTCTCTTTAATGCATTATATTTAAAATCATTAAGATTCGAAATTTATTTCACTGAAACGATAAACCTATTGGTATAAAAAATATATTTTTAAAAAGAATTTAATATTGATTGCCATGCAAACTGGTATGAAGATATATCTTTCTATCAAGTAAAAAAACAGATTAAATATCAAGCCAAGGAGTTGAAATTTCATGATTAAGAGAAAATTTTAAGCCTCTAATTCACGGTCTGGGACTCGGTGAAGAACTCGTCCAGAAACTCTTTCGAGGGTCAAGTATCTAGGTCTATACCAGTACATGTATAGAAGAAGGCTTCCCGTGTTATTTTCATACACCTCCACTTCTTCTTGCCTTTAGTGTTCAATTACAATGATTTTGCAATTTTTGGAATATGTCAATAGAAATACTAGTGTTGGAATCTCTCAAACCAAAACATCTCAAATTAATGTACTGTTCATGATGCCAATTTTGGGCATGGCATTCATGTGCTGCAAACATGTACTTTATTAATGTACATCAAAGTTGCTCTGGTTGTGTTGCTAACAATGCATGTGATTTGTTAGACAATGAGTTTACTAACATGTTTAAACCTTAAACAGACTGGTGAAGAGCAACTGCTTCATCTGGTAACTTTGCAATATTTGTTTAAAGAAGAGCAATGCTATACAAACAGACAAATTAATTATAACAATTTCATACGTTCCATAGATGGGTCAGTTTCAAGATTGTCCATAAAGCCCAATACCTAATCGAACTTGTCACCATTTGACAGTAAGCAAAGCCAGAACGCTTAACCAGGAGTTCAAACTTTCTCACACCAGAATGGTAGAGAATAGCCTAGACTGAATAAACAAACTGCAGTGGTGTAAGTTTGTGAGTACATTAAACCCAGTGAATGAAAGGGAGAAGGAAAAAGGAAGACTAAGACAAGAGTATAAATACACAGTACGTATTTAAACAGATAAAAATCTGTTTTTTTATAAGCCACAAACATTGCTACACAAACACAACTTATTTATCTATTCATAAGATTAAACAGGCCTCTATCAAAACCCACTGGTTTCCTTCTTTACTAGATAGAAAGCCAAGGCCACCGTCTACTAGATGAATCCTTCCATTGCAGCACAAATACAGAGTACGTATTTAAACAGATAAAAATCTGTTTTTTTATAAGCCACAAACATTGCAACACAAACAACGACTTATTTATCTATTCACAAGATTAAAAGGACCTCTATCAAAATCCACTGGTTTCCTTCTCTACTAGATCGAAAGCCAAGGCCTCCATCTAATAGGTGAATCCTGCGGTTCTGTAGCTAACCTTCCATGCGAATAATGCACCTCAGACCCTCTCCATTCAGCATGTAATCAAATGATTTATTAATCTCCGAGAAAGGAACAGAGTGAGTGATAAATTTCTCCACTTCTAGTTCCTGCGAAATCAAAACATTGAAGTTTAACAGCGAGTTAGTCACTAACAATGACATAAGCTAACTGTTTGGAATTGAATAGAGCCATTTGTAGGCTTGATGGAAAATCACTTTTTTGACTAACTCTTTATCAAAACTCAATATAGGACGTTTTAAAATTTATTCAATACCCGCTACAAGGCTGGAGAGCCACCGACACACATTTAAGCTTACCTTATTCATATATTTTTCCACCACTCCAGGAAGATCAGTGAGAGGCTTGTAGTTGCCAAAGAAGGTCCCTTTAAGGGTCCTCTCATGTAAGAATTTCATTGGATGGGTCTTGAATTCAGCATCTTTGCCTGGGATACCAACAATTACAGCAACACCCCAACCCTAAGAAGCAAAGATGATATAATGAGATGTTTTTACATATATAACTAGTATGATTAAACAGCATATAAGCAACAGGAAGTGATTACATCATGAACGCATTCAAATGCTGAGATCATGGCTTGGGGGTTTCCACTGCATTCAACACTCCGATCAACTCCTCCATCCGTCATCTCAACTATCACCTGACCAAGAACAATATCAATCACACAAGTGACACTTTTCTGGCATCAAGCCTCGAATTAATTGAAAAGTAAGCAATGTTTACGTACTTTTATACTACCAAATCACATTTAATAGAATAAGCATTTTGATTGTTCAATAGAGGTTTAAAATGAATTAATGCGAACCTTTGGATTCCAGAAAACATGGTTGACTGGAGGGGGATATGTTAGTATTTCTGCAAATAATATTCAGAGTAACCTATGATTTGGGCCAAGACAGAACAGCATGTTCCATCTTGCCAGTGATTTAAGTACTAGTTATGCTTAGCTTCCTGCTGAGAAAAATCTTTAATGCATAAAAAGTAACGTTCCATAGCACACGAGAAAGCCAAACTAGAATCAGGGCTGTGATCAACTGCATACAAAATACGACAGGAATGTCTCAGAACCCACCTGTTGAACAGGCTTGTCGTAATCTTTTGGATTTACAAAATCAGTAACACCAAAATTCTTTGCTGCCAGAAGAACAAAATAAGTTACAACCATCAGTGATTAGGGAAAATGCCTCAGTATTTAGATGTAAGCGTCCGTAAATTTTTGCAAATAAACTAACTCTACCTCCATTGAATCTCTTGGGGTTCAAATCGACACCAATTATCCTCGAAGCTCCTGATAACCTTGCTCCCTCAGCAGCCTGAAATGAGTTAAAAAGAAAGAGACGGGATTATGAGAGGTCATCATAAGCTTATATGATTAGCAGGAGTGAAAACACAACCAACAAGGACAACTTACAGCAAGACCAACAGCACCCAGTCCGAAAACGGCAACAGTTTGACCCTTTTTAGGTTTTGCAACATTCAAAGTAGCGCCAAGACCTTCAACCACAGATACAATACAAATAAAAAAGATTTTATATTAGCAGTTTAACACTGATATAAGTAATTTATTCTGTATATCAACAATCCTAAAAGATACGATAGCAGTACTTGTAGTTAACAACACCTGTGGACATTCCGCAGCTAAGAATACAAACTTTGTCAAGAGGGGCAGCCGGGTTGATCTTGGCAACAGTCCCAACATGGCAGACAGTATATTCGCTAAACGTGGAGCCACCAAGAAAGTGGTAAATTGGCTTTCCCTTGATAGAGAACCTTGGCTTGCCATCAGTGAGCATAACACCCCTATCAGTATTAATCCTGAGGAGATCGCACAAGTTGCTTTCTTCTGATTTACAGTGGCGGCACTCCCTGCACTCCCCAGTGAATACTGGTAGGACATGGTCACCTGGCTGGAAAGCAGTCACACCAGGACCTACGCTCTCCACAATTCTAAGTTCCAGCAAACAGAACCAAAATATTTAGAAGCATATCGCAGTATGGTAATCTAATTAAGTAAAATTATTGTTCACGTAAAACGAATTCGGATACGTGTAATGCGAACATACTGCTGTTAGTACTTCTAAATGACAAAAAGAGCGTATAGAGAAGCACTTACCCTCCAGCTTCGTGACCATATATACGAGGAAACAGAGGTGTTTGGCCCTGCAATGTAAAAGATCAGAACCATTTATTTTAATCTATCTTATAGAGGCTATATACTTTTGGCTAGAATAAATGTATAAGTGGGCCACCTTAGCTTCCCAAAAGTAAATATCGGTGTGGCATAAAGCAGTAAAGAGGATCTTCAAGCGAACTTCATTAGCCTGCGGGGGAGCCACCTCCACTTCTTCAATCACCAACGGCTTCCCTGCTTCCCAAGCAACCGCGGCTGCGTACAGTCCCCCACATAGTCAATTACAAATTTAATTACAATTATGTTTATTCAATAATTTGACAAAAAGTAATCGTTACAATTGCATGTTTATTCAACAAAATTCACAATTGTGTAAACTCCATCGGTAAATATTGAAGAATATAAAGAAAGAAACCCAACTAATTGAGTCGCTAAAAGTCCAAAACACAGAAATTTATTAAGGAAAGTTTCTAGAAAAAGAGTTCATGCAATTGGTCAAGCAAGGATAACAACAAAAATTACCCAACATAGTTGAACATCTATAATTCACTTTATATAAAGGAAATCGAAATCAGATGTTTTCCTAGGAAAGAAACTCAAGTATAAAGGCAAGAGACCCCTTAAATTTATGAAGAAAGTTTATGAAAAATAAAAAAAAACACCGAACAGAACAAACTTAAAGAGACCCGTATCATGCAGACAAGAAACTCATGTTTTTAAAATCAAATAAAAACAGAGTCCCTCCACTTTGTGTATTTGGTTGAATCAGACCCTATACTTTGAATTGAAACTTTATTTCTTATTAATTACATCAAAACTCATGAAACTTATATCTGGCCATTTAATTCGTAACAAACCAGGATTAATAGAGGATCAGATCACCTATGATTAGAAATAGAGAGGTTGATTTAAGCGGATGTAAAACATAGAGGGACCATCATGCCAATTTAAAACAGTAAATAGAGAAGGTCGGTTAAAGACGAAAACAAACATACAAGACTTACCAAACCCACAAATTAAATTAATCTAAATAGAAAATGAATTATGCAGTCACAAGATATAAGATCAGCCATTTAAAACCACAAGATGAGATCAATAATCCATTCAGAAAAAAATGGAACGAGATATTAACAGTATACTTGTACGTATTGTATACCTTTGCAGCGAATGACCTGACCAGCAGTGCTAGACATGGCGTCTTTGTCTTTCTGAGGCTATGGATTCTGGGTTTTGATCACTACTGTTAGCTCGTAATGTGGGTTGTAGTGTGGGTTGATTAGGGGCTACTATTTATAGCGCGAATTAGTGATGATTACAATTTGGCCATTTTTTGGTCCTTAGTTTTACAAACTCTGCACGTAGTACTCTACGTCATAATTTTGGATAAAACCGATCACAGTCATAATCGAAATCATTGCATATCGATCATTATCTAAAATAACAGTGATTATTTAAAACGATAGATTCTGGGTTTTGATCACTACTATTAGTTCGCAGTGAAGGTTGGTTAGGGGCCACTATGTATAGTGCTAGTGAATTAACGATGATTACAATTTGGCCATTTTTTTTCGTTAGTTTTACAAATCTTGTATGCAATTTTTTGCTTCATAATTTTAAACAACGGAGGATTGAAAAAATAGTTACAGTCATCATCAAAATTATTGCATAACGACAATTATATAAAGCAACGGTGGTTATTTAAAGTTACGTCGTACGTTCTAGGAAATTCCTTCCATTTAATCATAATGTTTTTTTACTGTTTTTCGTCCTCTATCTTATCTTATTTATATGGTCATACGTAGCCTTCAAGTTGACAGTTACTTTCCCCGAACTGTTGGACAAGATAGTGAAGCTGCATCGTTGCCATCAATAGGAGATTCAAAAAAATTTATCTAAAATTTACAAAATAATGCTTACTAATTAAGAAATTTACAAGCAAAGAAAAAATTAAATTCACGAGCAGTTTTTAGAATAATAGACCACTGAGGCAGCGAAACATTCGGCCCCGCTCCTCCGCATGCACTTAAGATTTTTGTTTGTTTTTTTTTTTTTTGGATAACTCTTGGAATGCATTTTAGATGGAGATGTAACTCTAAAGTTTTTTTTTTTTTTTTTGGCCGAAAGCAATACACTCATAAATCTTTATTATTTAAATAAAATATTTTTAAACTTATTTATTTATTCTTTAAATACAGTATTTTTAAACTTATTTCTCAAACAAAGAATTTTTTTTGTCACACAAGATTTTTTTCACCTATATCATTTTTTTTAATTATTGAAAAATAATTTCATAATATTAAATACCTTCATCTTTATTTTAGATATTTCATTAATTAAAAACATAAAAATACTTAGAACACTCTTCCTAAAAGAAAAAAAATAGAAAAGTTGGTTGGCGGCTAGCCCCAAAACCTTTTTTTTCATCTTTTTTGTTCCATTAAATTTCTTTTTAGATCTAATTTCTTTTACCGTTCATTTTTTTTCTTTTTCTGTTGTTCCTTTCTTTCCCTTATCTTTGTGTTCACTTTTATAAATTATTCACAACAGGCATTATTGGGTGTAAGGATTTTGGATAAATAAGAAAATTTAGGAAATATGAATTTGCTAAGAATCAGATATATTTTCGGACAAATCATTGTAGGATAATATGAGTGTTTCAAGAAACAATATGTTTCCAAGAACATGGGGGTATTTTTCCGGTCAAATTGTTGTGACTTATTTGCAGAAATTGCAACTTAGACAACGCACCAAGCTTCATGGGAACATCTCCTTCCAACTGTTTATAACTAAAACAGAGAGCAATAAGGTTAAAGCAAGTGGATATGTTGAAAATTTTGTCATTTATTGAGTTTTTGTTAAGCTTCATGGGAACATCTCCTTTCAACTGGTTATAACTAAAACAGATAGCAATAAGGTTAAAGCAAGTGGATGTGTTGAAAATTTTGCCATTCATTGAGTTATTTTCAGATCTCTCAACCTCTGCAAATGGCCTATTTCTCGAGGGATTTCATGGGTGAAGCTATTGTTTTGGAGATTCGATTTTTTTAGAAGACTCAAATTGCCAACATACGGTGATATAGAGCTCTTTACTTTGAAAGACTAGGGGTTCATGTTTGCTGGACCTTGGTACTGATTTTCATATTTGCTATTTATTTGTGGTTGTATTTGAAGTGTCAAAGATTACTATTTATTTGTGGGTGTATTTGAAGTGTCAAAGATTAATAGAAGGGATGATGCTGAAATTCACATAAAAAACTGTTAGGTGTAAGGATTTTGGACAAATAAAAAAATTTTAAAAATTTATTTTACAAATGAAGGTATTGACGTCATTGGTGGAATCAATTAGTTTGTTATCCTCGTATTATTTTAAGCAGGAGACTATAAAAGTCTAGATTCTGTTATCCCCATGCTATTTTAATGGAGAGAAATGCGATTGATCAGTTCTATAATCCGACAGTATTATTGAAATTTTTGAAGGTACTGACGTCATCGGTGGAATCAAATAGTTTGTGATTTATTCGTTTTTTTTCTTAAAAAAAAACTTGTGATTTTCTTGTCCTTATTTTTCTATTTTTTCTTGTGAAATAATATCATTCACAGAAAAACTCTTCTTTGTTTCTGAAAAATGAAAAAACGTTTTCCGATTCTCCATTAGAAAAAGAAATCGGACAATAGAGATGCAAAATTATTTATGCAACCAAACATGTCCTTCCATTAGGTACATTATTTAATTGGGCTTTTTATGGATCCTATTTTATGGGCCAAAGTGTTTCTCTCGTTACTATAAATTGGGCCCAATACTAAAACTTGAGAGGAAGGATTGGACGCGTGGACTATTTTGAACATCTTCTGACATTCGATTTGATTCTAGTTGATCCCAACATTATCAACAGCCAAAAAAAAAAAAAAGTTGATCCCAATATTTTGGCTCATTTAATACCTCATATTAAATTTTGATTGTATTTTATTTCTGATTGCCTTTATCCATGTTGACCGAATCTTTCACTAAAAAAAAAATACATTAAATTTATTTTATTGGTTATTGATTTATGAATTTGATTTTTATTTGTTTGGTTTTAGAAATATTTCAAAGTCTGATTTTTGCACAATTAATGTTCTCTTTTATTTGATTTAGGATCTTTTTTTCTTTTTTTTGGTAATAATTGTAGAAACGTTTTTCAATTATTATTTTTCTTCAAATTTTGGGAGTTTTTGTTGTCTCCAAAGTGAGTTAGGACATTTTGGATAACGTATCCATAAATCTGTGAGATTTAACATATATTATCAACAGGACATATTAGAAACTTTGGCAAAATACGATGTCATGTTGGTTTCGTTTTTTTATTTAGGGCTGAAAGAAGGCCGATTTGTAGAAAAATTTTCAGCAAAACAAACAAATCATCATGTTTCAAGACTCCAGCCACAATAACGCATTAGGATGTTAATTTGTGCGCTCTTTTTTCCACATGCTTTCGACAAGAAATTTTTTGATTTGGTTATCCACCTCTCTTTTCCCATAAAATCTGATTGTTTGTTTGCTTTTAAAACATTGGCAACAGGAAAGAAATGAATCTTTTTCCCGTCCAAAGCTTCAGTTTTAAGGCAATCTGGTCTTTGTTTCTCATATAAACTCCCTGGCAAAAGGCACAATCAAGAACTGTTATGTTATGATTGTTGCAAACATAAAAAAGGCATTATAACAAAAGCAGAAATGATACTACTTTGGCTCTCAGTTCATCTTTCATGGAGTCAAACATACTGAGATCCAACAACTTTACCCACTCCAAGCATGAAAATCTGAGTCACCTGCCTTCATGATAAGTAATGATAATCCATTTTTTCCTTTCGGCTACCACTAGTCTATGTAATAAGATGCCCCATGTTCATGACAAACCTGTCTAACATATTTTCTTATGACAATCTAATTTGACCACGTATTTTTGGCTTTTGAAGATCCACCTTTGCGAGTCGATGTCCCCGGGAACGTTTACATTCTGAAAGGACTACTGATCTAGCCAATTGGTGGCTATATAATGACTGGATCCAATATCATTATGCGACCACAGATGTGGACTGGTTAGCATACTGTAATGGCATTACATTGTCGTATATGATATGGACTTGGAAACATCTTTCTTCGGAAATAATGCCTGGGATTCTCCATATATATATTCTTCGATATTGATGATGATCTAACCTTTCTTTAGCCTCACAGCCCTAGAAAGACGTAGTAGATGAGGGTTACCGGCAAGGAAACTAACATGCCGAAAATCACCCTGCAAGAGTGGAAGTACAGTTAATACACCGCAAAGGTAAAATTGATTTATTAAAACAGGGAATAGTAACAAAATTTAGATTCCTCAGTTTCGATAGTACATGAGAAGCCTCTAGTCCATGGCCTGGTTACGTAAAGCACCAGTCCAAAAAAAAACTCAAGTATTGGAAAAAATGGATCTGGGTCTATTACTGTATATAGAAAGCCCAATTCCCTTAGTATATTTCCATAAACCACTTCATCTTGCCACGTACATCTTCCCTCGTCTGAGGTTCTAAGCTAGGTGATCAGTAATTTATGACTTATACTTCAGTTGTTTCGCTTTGCCCTCTCATCCATTTTTCCTTAACTGGCAAACTTTTTTTTTCTAATGAAAACTTAACTAGCAACTCTTTCAACCTTATGTTTACTTTACTTTAACCAACTCCTTGAAATTACGGCTTCCATGATTTGATGCTCACTGCAAATTAGATTACCTTTACTTTAAGGTGTGAATTGATCAGACAGCACTAACTACCTCTCAGTTAAAAAGATGTCGCTAGCCCTAATCCCTAAGAGATCAGTTCTTGATGTAAAATTAATCATAGTCCATATTCTGCCCAACATATTTGCATTCCTCATAAATATATGGCATGGAGCCATGGACAGTCGATGTGTGTGTCCTCATAGTTGTGTAGGTATTAACGTAATCAACAATAGCAGAATCATCATAATACTACTAGATATATTAACTTTAATTGGAATCTCTTCAAAGTAAAGGTCTAGCTTCCTCACTTACCCCGTACTCATTATATCAGGATGCAATCCATATTCCCTTGCAAAGACAAATGGCACAATCCCTTGTGAAAGAGCTGCCTGGTATAGCACGGTAACAATATTTAAAATCTAGACGAGAGAATGTTCCACAAAACAAATTAATTATTTAATTTTTTTCCAATTTTATCCATATGCTCACAAATATAACATACATCAATCATAAATTAATAATGCATCTATTCTTAATTAACCACAAAATGTTTGTGCCATACCTGCACTATGGCTGCACGGAGCCGTACTCCTCTCATTCCAATAGCGACAGAAGTAGCCGACATTACGATAGGTCCACAAAGGAATCGGATTGCCATTGCCATGGTTGCCCTTTTCTTGCCGCATACAATGATCCGAGGCTGAAGAGCCATGAACAACCCTGCAATTTTAGGAATGTGTCGATCAGAATACTACTATTGGAGTGTCTCAAGCCAGAATATCTCAAATTAATCAACTGTACGTGCATGCATTTTTGGGCTTAGTAACATTTACTATATTAATGTTGCTAACAATGCATGTGATTTGTTCGACAGTGACTACATTAATATGTTCATACATTAACTAGATTTGTGAAGAGCAATCACAACAGAAATCAAACCGAATTGAATTCACTCATGCTTGGATTAAGAGTACTGGTAGGTATAAGGGTTTCAACATACCTAAACTGAACATGGCCATCCCAAGACCTGCATCTGAAATTATTTTTATTGAATATTTCACCAAGCTGGGCATTCCTACATTCCATCTGCTCATTTAAGGGAAATCTTTATCAATAAAAACAAAACCGATGTAACAAAGTTTATCGAGTAAGAAAATTGGCAAAGAGAATGACATAAGAAACTCACTTGAAAGAGGCTAAAGACCAAAGAAGCCCCAAAACACTTGAGTATGTATTTGGATTGCGAGAGAGCTTCCTCCCTACAACAACAAGTATAAGTCTTAGCATGACAATGGCATGTGGCATTTCCTGGTTGGTTACTACTGCTTCCTTCGAATTCGATTGCTCTGGTGCTGGCATTTTACAACAGTCTCTGAAGCTGATCTCCTTTCCTGCGAGGTTAATGGATAGATGATTATTCAATATTAATAGTCCGATTTCAATGAAAAAATAAATGAAATTGCAAATGGACAAAATTAAGATTCAAAAAGAAGAAACAACAATGTGCTACCAAATTTGGAACTCGAACATTGCCTTAATTAACCTAATTTGCGATAGCTACAATTCTATCCTGTTGTCTATAATTAAAGTTTAAGGAGTCAAAAGAATTGAATGCCTAAATTATTATTTGAGAATGTCTCAGAAAAACAGAAGGTTTAATTTACTTGAGAATTCAAACTTAGAAGACTTAAGTTGAAATTTTGTCAGGATGAGGCAAAATTGTACTTGGGTTGTACCCTCATTTCTTTTTTTCCTTCTTATTATCATTAACTATCTCGATGGATGTTCAACAGCTGCTTATTAATATTAAAGTCAATCTGTAATTTTTAACAGATAAACTCAACATATAGATCCAGGGTGTTGACGACGATGTCACTCCAAGATTTGTTTTTGAGTTTTGTGTGGGAATTTATCCTCCCTATATGATTATGATCACCACCTTGGAAGTTTTGGTTGATGAAAGATATTGAGATAATTACTGATTTAAACATTTAGTTTGTTTAATGGGATTTGGTGTTATCATTAGGTAAGAATAATTAGATTCTCTACAAGGATAGACCAATTAGTTAGCTTTCTCTATCATTATACACGTGCTCTCGACCTAATGATGGTGCCTACCAATTGAGGTGATGATTCATTAGAAATTCATTGACCCCTTTACTTTTCTTCCTTTTTTTCTGTTTTTTCCGGGTGGTAGGTTAGAGCTTTGAAGGGGCCACCTGCTTATTTGTGCATAATCATGTGGTGGAAAAATAGGAAGAACTTTGTTTTTAAATCTAAAAATGAAAACGGACAAAGATAACTATCAAGCAGTAAGATATGGAGATTTGTGTCAATTAGACTGTAGTTCAATCGGAATTCACATTCATCTTCCCTAAATGTTTTGGAATAAGTCCTGAATTCAGTCTCTTCCTTCATTTGTAATTAAAAAAAGAAAAAAATCACAAGTAGTGTGTACATGTATATGTGACATTATAGGACAAAAAAATTAAAGAAGTATTTCAAACATCTAAAATTATATTCTTTTTTTCACTTAAATATGGGATATATTCAAAGAAAAAGAATGAGAATGTACTTAATAATTTCAGCAATATATTAAATGCAAATCACCACTTCATGTAACTAGACAAATCGTTCAGAAAACTAGAGAGTGGGTTAGTAGCCAAACCTGTCACATCTTTGCTGCCGCCATTTGGACATATTATTGGTGACTCATCCCAGACTTGCCTGACCTCAGGCGCCGCCGGAGATTGTTGCCGGAAAATTTTGCCGGCTACTGGAGATCGAACCCAAAAGGGCGTGTTTGCTGCATTAGTCAGGTCTAATTCATTAAAATTGGACGCACGCGGTGTCGGTTGAAGAGAGTAAGCATCAGACGACGCGTATCCTGACAACCGCGGACTCGTTCCAGACCGATATGCAAATCCCAAGTCACCATTACATAGCACTGTCTCATTGTTGGGCCCATGACTGAAATGACCATTATAACCATGGTATTCGTGCAATGTGACAGGGGTATTAACAGAAAAAACTTCGGCGTTGGAGAGGTTTGATGGTCTAGGAGTGAGGCAAATGGAGGATGATAGAGCGGAGTCTGGAGCCGATGATGTTGACCTTCTGATGCGGACTCGAATGCGTCCGGTGCCGTCTGTCTCTGACTCTGTGCGAAGTGGATCCCTTCCATCGAGGGAGATGACATCATCGTCGAGTTCGATTTTGGAAATGGAGGCTGCTGCGTGGCCGGGAAATTGGGTTTTGATTAGGATGGTTGCAGCTCTGTATTCAAAGAGGAAGAGCAAAAGTGTATACCTGCAAACCCCAAATTAAATTGAAATTAATTACCAGTCTTTGCATGAAGTATATGCATATACTACTTTTGGTCTATCTAATCATATATTTACGTCGTAAACTTTCGGATGGCTATGCTCGTGTATAAACATATTTATACATTTATTTATGGATGTATGGATGTATGTATTTTATTTTGGTTTACAGTTTAAGCATTGATTATTGGACATGGTCTCAGCTATTTTAAGTTCTTCCTTTTACCATGAGACTAATGATTATTGACTTCATAGAGAAAAGATAATGCAGGACTATATTTGGTTATAATTTTCAATTGTCTTTTTCAAAATTTTCGAGAGATGTGAAATCTTGTTTGATTCTTAAATGCTTTTGAGGTAATTAATAGAATCTACTTTTGGTAACGAGGCACCGATGCTTATTTTTAGTGTTTTTCCAAACTTTTCAACTACATTTTTGCTTCAAAAAGGTGCAACTGAGTAGACACCACACGAAGATTTGAGGGGGGACGTGAATTAGCAGCAAGGAAAAGAAAAGGAATCGATGGACCAACCCAGAAAGATTACGTGCTCAACGAAACAACAAAAAGAAGCTCAAACGCATTTTTAAAGAGAAAAACAGAGAGAAAGAGAGAGAAAAGAGAAGAAAAATGGATTAGAATGTGTTCTGAATACCATATTATACATTGAAGAACGACCACTTGCACCATGAGGCTCTGAGTGAAATCTCCATACATGGCCTTGAGCAAAGGAATGCCCATGACAAGTGTGTTAGGCAAACAGGCAATCGAGAAGAGAGTGATAAGCCAATCCAATCCTCCATTAAAGAAAACAGCCCACACTGAGAGCAGAACGAGCACTAAGACTTTCGAAAGAGTATCAGCCAATATGAACTTAGTGTCCATTTGGTATGGGTTGTTTTGAGCTATGAAGTGGAAAGATAGCACTGGGACTGCAAAAACAGCAACAAATCTATTGATCCCTGAGCACTGCTCTGGCGTGAATATCTTGTACCATTTCACTGATCCATAAGCAACCAGCATTGCAAAATATAGAGGCACCATTGCACACATGACCTTGTAGAAATCATCTGCAGTTATCATCTTTTGTTTAGCACTAACCACTCTCCCAAGTTAAGTTTGTTGGGTTTACTTGCGTGAGCAGTCTTGAGTGTTTATATAGCACATTCATGGACGAAACTGCCCATAGAAGAGTTGCGAATTAACTTGGTAAGGTACTGTAATTAGCGAGAATTACGGTTGGCAAGCTTAATGATTTACTTTCTAACATGGCGTTTCTGTCTTTCCAAATGGCAAATATGAAGACCATTTTGACGGGAATAGCCTAATTGCTTTTTCCGGGTACCGTTTTTGCTACTTCGATGCAAATTAGTTATGGAGAAAGATTGCAAATGTGTCAATTTTTTTTTATTGAGTTAAATTAGATTGGATTACTTTTCCAGATGTATTTGATAATGCATTTTCTGTATTTTTGAATGATGTCTTTTTTTATATATACATAATAAATCTATATAGAATTAAAAATATTTAAAAACATCAATTTTATATATTTTAATCCAAAACACTTTAAAAAGCATTCCTCGGGACATCTAAAAACGCATTACAAGTAACACCCGAACCAGTTATGAATAAATGATGAATAAGAGATGCATGATTTATTTGTAAATATTAAATATATTTGTAGGTGCTCTTGCATGGTAATTAACATGATAACTTAGTTGAATATTGCGACTGGTACCCTTGGACCATTTGCAATGCAATATTTTTTTCGAAGTCAAATAGGCTAAAAAATGAGAGCTCTGATTCGCATTGCTCTTTATTGTACTGTATTGTCAGAAATCATCACCAAACAAGCCAGTATGGTGATGCTTCAATCTGGATCACACGATTGGGCGGTTTGTGTCATGATGAATCATTACGCATGCATGATAGCAGAAAAACAGCCTTGTTGGAAGGTGATCATTCTGTCGCTGAGAAATTGGGGAAGCCCTTAAGTTTTAATTTTGCTTGATGAATTGATACCATTTTTTTTTTTTAAAACCAAGAATGAAATTGTCATAGAGAAATGTCATGCACCCCAGTTCCTTACTTAAGGAAAACATTAGATCTATTTTCCAACTCTTACAAAATATAAAACATAAGAGGAAAAAGAAACAAGCTATTAGCTATGCAAAACCATCCAATTGAATAGCTGACCCTTTTGCACAGTTGTCACTTGGAAGAAAACTATCCTTGTGGAGCATCAAAATGATTGTTGAAAAAAAAATGCCTTTGATTTTCTCGAGCCTCCTATTAATTATGAACTATTTTCTTGCATCGGAGAGCACAATTTAAACTTGTATATTCTTATATTTTTTAGTGAATCAGTTCAAACAGAATCCAGAAAGAAATCTTCAAAATCTAATTCCAATGATCGCCCAAAGCTGTGCAGTAAGGGGATTTTTTTATATATATATACTATATAATAAAGTTAGAGAAAAGCTAACTTGGACTCGACCAGGTGCTTTCGCCTTTCACTACGGTGGTGCTGTTGAAAAGCTTATTAGGTCCTCTTTTCAACTCTCATAAAGAAGGATGTTCCCTCGTAAAGCTCCCTTCCTTTTCATATTATTAATCAATTAATGATATGTTCATTTAATTACTAACTGATTTTTAGTAAAGAAGCAACCATAATCACGGCAACCACAGGTGCCAGAATTCCCTACCAAAAGATCTTGGCATGGTAGATACTAGATAACGGATCATACCCTTGCGCTTAGTCAGCTTTCTTCCTTTAATTTTCTGATAAATTAAATAATAGGACCTAGGATGAGTAGCTCACAATTACCAATTAATAATATAAATGGTGATCAAAATCATCCAGACAAAAAAAATATATATCTACGCCATTGGTGCACTAAGTTAGCTACTCCTATATATAATGAAGTGCACTACAAGTACAAGAAAACATGTTTTATGGCAACTTTTGTTAATTAATTTACCGCCAAAACTCTTACACGCCAAGCTTTCTGCAAAATATTTTGCTGAAATCCTGACAGCCTAGGATCCCTTGTTCACAGCACTTAAAAATGGGTATGATTTTTTGTCAACTATTTGTGGAATTAATACCACAAAACCAATGATGCCTATCCTGGACTTAGCATGTCATTATAGTTTATACATTTCAGATAAAAGTTTTGTAGGATATATACATCGGAACTTATTAGCGGTGGCAGGACGCTTCAATTTGAAGTCATGAATCATGATTTTAGCAGCATTACTGATTGTTCATAAGGGAACAGCGAATTATTCATCAAAACTTTCTTCATTTATATATTTTAAAAAAATTAAACACATAATTTCCCAACCACAATCCTCAATCATATCAGTAGTAGGAAATATTCTTTTATTGGAACAACAATCTCTGCTAAGTGCTAAATATTTGTTCGGGAGAGTTGGAGCGTGCAAACTGAGTGTGAATCTGAATCTGATAGGACAGAGTGACACGAGAAACTGATAAAAGGAGTACTGCCCTCTGTAAGTAAATAATCCAAGCAGGGCTTGTTTGTCCGCTTGGTTTGGCTTTAGACCTGATAGTGAAACGACATGTGGCGTTCTTTGGGCCCCACAATCTACCCGAATGGGTAGCAACGCGTGCCCCAAAGTCTGTACCAGCCCACCAATCAAATCTCAGTAACTGATTATTGGCTCAAGAAAGAATGGACCCCACTACCCTCTGAAGCTAACTCTGTCTTTACAGCGTACAGCCGTACATTTTTCTGTCTTGCTTCGTGTTTTTTTAAAACCGGGTCTTAAATTGTACTCTGGGCAAGGGAAGAGTTAAATACGAGGCCGCGCAAAGAACAAAGGCTACTGAGCCCAAACCCTTAAAATGCAATCTACTAAGCCCAACAAGCACCCTTGGGTTTAATACTATGGAGATAGTTTTATAAAAATATGTTTCGATTAAAAATATATATTTTTAGCATCAATATATCAAACTTATTTAAAAATTTCAATTCAAAAATATTTTTAAAAGTACTTTTAAATAGATTCCAAACACATTTCCAAACTCCCTTGATTTTTTGTTTTGTTTTGACAATCCTTCTGCCCCTAAGTTACAATTGATTTATTTGCTCCAATTCATGTAACACTAAAAAAAAAAAAAAACAGAGAGAAAGCCGAAAATACCCCACAAAGGAATAATAAAAAGCAGGCTAAGAGGAATTTTGGCTGATAATTCCTTGGCAAGGATTGCAGCTCATAGTGATTCGATTGAAGAGGTCAACCGTATGTGCATGCCATTAAGTAAACTACCTAGGAAATTATTCTCAGATCAACTTGTTGTACCTAAGATCCTCAACGCAGGATTCCTCCCTGAATTGAAAGAAACGACGAGTCAAGTACCGTATGCTTGGTCAGTCCAGGCTTTGTCGAAAATATACGGTACAGTTCGCTGGAAATTCTTGTCGTTGCATGTTTCGGTTGAACACAGGTTATGAACCTACTAAATCTGGTATTTGATTTACCTCCCAAACTGTCTAAACAACGGGTTTTTCTTCTCTTTGTTATCTTTCAGTGCACTCCACTCTAAACCGATCTACCCTCAAGCTCTTGGGTTGAGGGACTGCACAGGAAGGAGGGATTATCCAATTTCAAGCATCTGACTTTAAAAAACAAGCTGTGAATACTCCACTCGATTCATTTAAAATCAAGTCAATTAAAAAATAAGTTCCAATGATTTTCATAATCGATCAAACTTCACCTGGGAATGCTCCACTCGAACTCTTTTCAATGAAGCCCCGGTGGTGAAATAATTAGCTAATTATGATGAGTTATCAGTAGGAAGCATGTGTTCTCAAATTGATTCAAATTAATAAAAGATATTTCAGTTCAAATATCAATTAGTAACTAGAATAGATGCCTGGGGACAATCACATGGTACGTACAGTTGGTGAGTGTTGGGTGTATTTTTAAGATTTAGTTAATGAGTGACTTTCGTATAACTCAGGAAAAAAAAAAAAAACTAAAGAAAATTGAAAGGCAAACCACGAGTGTATGATAGTGATAATGCAATTGGCGGTGCATTGACAAAAAAAGAAAAAGTTTGGTTCGAGACTTTTCCTTTTTTTTTTTTTTCACAAGCCAGCGTAGTAATATAAAGGTTAAACGAATTAAATTTCTCTTAAAATTTAATTTATTTAAAAAAATCTTTAAATTTCTAATTTTGAATTTGACTTCTTAAATTTTAATTTTTTTGGATTTAGAAAATATTACATGAACTTTACTTTGTACCCTAAATACTTTTAATTGCTATTTTAAAAAAGAGAAAAGAAAGGGGGGCATGATTACTTTTAGTACATGAATAATATTAATTTCAATATTTAATTTCATTCAATTTTGTTTTGAGTTTCTTGCTTAACATTCTTTCTTTATTTTTTAAAATTTCTTAATTTAACTATTTTTTTAAAAATAGTTATTAATAGTATTTTGGATATCATAGGGATTTTTATCAAATCAATTCAAACTTTTCGATGGTTCTTGTACTGTCTTGATACATCACAACGACTTTTGTAATTTGTCTAGAAAATCAATTACATAAGTTAATATATAACATGCAAAATAAAAGGTGTTTTCCACGATTCAATTGAAAATTTTAAATATAAATATTTCACGAGTTTAATGAAATATAACTTTATTTTACTATTGCAAGTCAAATGTTAAGAGCAATAAAAAAATGAAAATGAGAGTGAGGCAGTAGTATAGATCGAATGTAAAAAAATAGAACACGAATAATTTGTTGTATACAAAAAATGACGAGCAGTAAACTTTAAAATAGTTTAGAAAAATAATATGCAAAAATAAATAATAATGTTAGATATGCAAATACATCATACAAACTGAAAAACGCTTTCCCAAGTTTAAGAGAGGAAAACACTTTCCTCTCTCAAAGACTTGTGTTTCTCTTTGACTAGAAAACACTTTCAGTTAATTTATTTTTCAAGTTATCACCAAACACTAAAAAATACGAAGAGTGATTTCTACAAAATCAATTTCTGGCAAACAAACAAGACCTAAATCACTGAGCTTTACTCTATTCCTTCACTATTCTAGAAGCTTATTCTTGGAGCTTTTGAATTATATCATCTGGATGTCCATGTGCAATAAACTCCATTGTTTTCCATGCCTACTTGGTTCCTTTAATGGCAAGTCCAGCAATTTTATGTTGGGAGAACATTTTTGGTCAATCAAAAGGAACTTAATGAATAACAAAACGAGATAAAAAGAAGTAAAACTTGGTGATTCAATAGCCAATCTCACCCGTGTCTTTTACTCTGAGCCGGTAACGATCCAAACTTCCTTGGGTAGATTGTTAGTGAGTGAAGTGCAAAATTATCTCCTTCCTGGTAGGCCCAAAATTTATTTTGCTGCAATTTCACGTTTAGTACTTAGTAAAACGAGAGAATAAAACAGTTGCTAAACTATTAAGGAATGCCAATGACCTCCGGGACCAATCGATTTAAATATAACAATAAGCCCACAAAATTATAAGAAAAACAGAGCAAAAACAAGTCGAGTTTGAAGATGAATCTAACATCGATGTTAGGGTTCGCTTGGGCAACATTATGTCCTTCCAATTAGGGATTTTGTATGACTTTCTCTGGCGCGAAAGGAACTTGATCAAGATACACAATGGCACGGGTGGTAATTCATTCAACTTTCGGGAATAATTACACGTCATCCTCTGTGATCATGTCAATCCACCTATACCATCAAGTATTCATTCGGCAGCTGAGCCATCAGATTGCCTAACTCTGATCGGTCAAATCGGTAAATGGCAATGAAGGGTCAGGCAAGAAGTTTTTGGGTTGCCAGCATTGGTCTACAGGTTTGAAAAACGGTCGAACCACATTTGTGTGGCCCAATTAATTTGCCCCTGAAGTTTATACATTATCTCAATTAACCTACGATCTTTGATTTGTTTCAATTAATCCCTATGTCTTTCTTTGTTATTGCAATCAGCTCTAGATTTATTATTTTTGTTTCAATTTCTCCCCTCCCTCTATTTTCATAAAAAAATAGTAATAAAAAACGTGTGTGAATTTTAATTTTATTTCTAAAGTTTATGAAATATATCAATATCACTCCAAAAATAAAAGAAAAAAAAACAAAATATAAAAAAGGACGAGATATGATGAAAACAAATCAAATGATTTAGATAAAATTAAAACAATACATAAACAAATTCATTTTTTTTAGAATCTTTTGGATTTATCAACGCAAAATTGGTTTATTACTTTGTAATGGGCTTATCATGCCGATGTATAAAAGTAAAGTTCTCGCAAACCATTTTATTTTAATATGGATAATCTATTTTTTTCGTGTTATAGAAAAATCTTGATTCTTGAAGATTATGGACCATTCGCATTGATCTTATCTAAATGTACGACCATTACACAAAACCATAACATTGTTTTCAATCCAAAAACCTAATTAAGTTATGAATGCATTCTGTATACAAGTATTTTGGATCTCTCCATATTAATCGATATAAAATATACCATTGAAATGTACAATTAACGATTAGAAAACAATACTTATTTTAAAGATGAAAAATGGTCCAAAAAACATACGCAGTCATAAAACCCTCGCAAAAACCATGTGATATCATAAATTGCTCTAAGGAAACAATTTTATTAGTTGTTATTATATCAAGTATTTTTCCGATAACTCATATTTTTCTCTTATGCAATTATACAATAGTATCACAAAACTGTAAATTCATTGATTGTTATTGTTATTATTATGTAAAGTTTCTGTATAGCTTCCCGTTTTTGGGTACTTACCAAGAGATTGCAAGTTTTAGTTTAATAATCAAATTGCGGGTGCTTTGATTTCTCAATTTAGTATTTGTCTTTTCGGTTGGGTTAATTTGGTTTTATGTGATAAAGTAAGCATAACAGTAACAGCCCTTTAACCCGCGTGTTTTTAAAATGTTATTAATTATCATATCAATATATTTTATTCACTCTTTTTAAAATTATTTAAAAAATTATATATGAAGAAATTTTTTTATTAAATAAAATTTAATTAAAAATAAAATTTAAAAATATATTATTTAAAATTTTAAGCATAAAAATATTTTAAAAAATATATAAACAGAAATGTAAACATGTTTTTGATGCAGAGAAATTAATTGGTCTGCATAAAAAGTTTGTCCTGTAGTCAACGGGGCCGAAGTACAAGTCAGTAGAAGTCACTCCACTAATTAGTTTGCCGTGGTGATCCCATTGATGGTTCATGTTTATATTAAAAATAAAATTAATTTTATTCGAAAAGAAAATGTTAAAATTTAATATTTTTTTATAAATATTATATTAAAATTAAAATTTTATATGTTGATAAAAATTTATCTAAAAATTAATTTGTTTGTCACTAAATCAATATTTTGTCATTTGATTTACTAGAAAGAAAATCGAACGTACTTGTGTGGCATTCTCAAATTTTGACAAGTTCCAATCTCTGATGTTTGCAACATACGTGGATGGCTTTCTGAAAGATAGAAAGTGGTCAAACTGCAATCTCGTCTAGACGAGACTGCTAGTTTTACACGTGGAAAGACAAGTCTTAAAATTGGAATAGGAGAAAAATCATTTTTGTGCAACCTTTAATATTTGTTGTAAACAAAAGAAATGTGAATTCTGTTAGATGCTTGCTATGGAAATTTCAAAGAAACAGGTTTTCCTCACCAGTCATCATTTTCTTCGCCAAATTTCAAGCACATAGAGGTGCATTGCAAATTCATAATCTGATCAAGCAAAATCAAATTTCATTCTTTCATTTAAAAAAAAAAAATCATATTTCTCAATGAGGAAAGCATTGTTTTGGTTACAATGAGGCCGTTCGTCCACCATTGTATTCAATAATTGAAGCTTGAAAGTCAGTTTTTCATATATCTACTACGAATATTTTCTATCAAAGACAACTTGCTAGCTCATCAAACCACCACTTGCAACCTAATCAAATAAGAATATAGGAAACATTTAAAGAAAGCGTCTTGTTGTCGTGCGTTCCCAACAGGAAGATGCTGCGTCAACGTATATATTTGCCATTTGCAGGAACAGAAGGCTGTTTCTAATTAAAACTTTTGCCAGCTGCTTCATCCTAAAGATGGCATGTATCTTCTAAGCTAAAAGGTAGAGACGACAAATTTCTAAAGAGATATCAAACTAAACTTTAGTCGGTGCAAAACAGAAATAGACATTAATCAAATTCACAGGTTTACTTTCTTATCTTCATACCAACTCTATTAATGTATGATAATAACGTGCATGGGAGGTGGTTAAGACTCTCCTTTAAAATAATAGTAATACAAACTTGAAAAGATAATAACGTGAAAACAGATAAATTTTGACCTGCGAAAAAAAAGAGCACAAATCTTTCAAATTATCAAAATATGGGAATTGCGAGGATCATGAGAAATGTAAAAGAGTTGTAAAAGTTTAAATTTTCCGTACATAGAAAAGAGTGACAAGAACTGGAATTATAAGTATGCATGCATGCATTTTTGGACATATTAAACATGTAGCTCTGTCTAAATAGTACATATATGGACTCTTACAAGCATCTCCTGCCCCACTCTGGTCTTTAATTATTTGTCCTGTTAATGTAATGGTATTTTATTGTCCCATCAGGCCACCACAATGCCCGTTTCCAATAAACTAAAAGCTTTTGCTGCTGCTCTCTTTATAGTGCAAGCTTTTTCAGTCTTTGGTGTTCCAAGAGGGCAACTCCAAGTTGGCTTCTACTCACAAACATGCCCTGCTGCTGAATCTATTGTACGAATTGCTGTTCAAAATGCCTTTTCTAATGATCAGCAAATTGCTGCAAGATTGCTCCGGCTCTTCTTTCATGACTGTTTTGTTGAGGTCTCTGTAATTTCTCTACACGGCAACAATATATCATCACTAACACAGAAATATATTATATGTGCTGATTATTAAGTTTTAGTTGTAGGGATGTGATGGATCAATTTTGCTGGATAATGGCAGTGATGGTGAGAGGAGTGCAAGAGGCAACGCAGGCCTTGCAGGGTTTGAAGTAATAGAAAATGTCAAAACACAATTGGAAGCCACTTGTCCCGGATTGGTTTCTTGTGCAGACATTGTAGCTTTAGCTGCTCGGGATGCCGTTGTCTTGGTACTTTAACTAGTCCTTTCTTATTACTGCTCAATAAGTTAATCTCTTTGTTCTCAATAACTAGTCCATATGACCAGTCCTTAAATTAGTATTCCACTATTAATAATAGTAATTAAGAGTCTGATCTTAATTTTGAGTACTTTGATATGTGAATCAAAATATAGTTGAAACGCGCACACATACACAGACTGCTTATTTCTTTGAATTGATCAAATCCGTGACTAACATTGTTGCTGTCAATGAGTTTCCGCAGAGTGATGGGCCTCCTTATGAGGTTCCAACCGGGCGGAGAGATGGCCGTGTTTCAAGTATTTCACTTGCTGCTAACTTGCCAGATGTTGATGACTCAATCGAGCTTCTCAAATCTAAGTTCAGAGAGAAGGGTCTTACAGATCATGACCTTGTCCTGCTCAGTGGTGGTATGCTTACAAACCTCTATGGATTATTTAGCATCTTCCGGTTTGGTGATTAGTTAGTTCCTGGGATCTCATGATTAATCAATATTACTACCAACCTAATGAAAATATCAGGAGGCCATACAATTGGGACAGCTGCTTGCTTCTTTATGCCAAATAGACTCTACAACTTTACAGGTAAGGGTGACTCTGATCCGGCAATCAATTCTCAACTCCTGCCACAACTTCAAGCCAAGTGTCCATCCAATGGAGATGTCGATGTCCGGCTACCACTTGACTGGACCTCCGAATTCAAATTTGATGATCAAATCTTCCGCAACATAAAAAATGGGTTTGCTGTGATAGCATCTGATGCTAGGCTCTGTGACGATAAAAACACCAATAAGATCCTCGACTCCTATATTAGCTTCGCCCGTTCTAGCAATATTGGACCGTCTTTTAAAGCAGATTTTGCTGAAGCAATGGTGAGGATGGGGAATATTGGTGTTAAAACAGGTTCAGAAGGAGAGATAAGACAAGTTTGCATTTCCATTAATTAGTTCAAAAAAACAGTACCATAATAGATTACATGCTGCGTAGTGGTACAATGAATTAATACATTTGTGACTGCATTAATAGACCTTCCTTTTATTGCATTTACCGTATAGATCCTGCGTCTCAGATTACTGAAAATAGACTGCTCTGATTTCTTTTTTTTCCTCGCTTATTCAACTCGTTGGGAATTGGTACTACAAATTTAAACCAAATAATGATTACTTCAAGTCATGAAAAAATAAAAAATAAATAAACCTGATATATACATGATATGTGTGTCTGTGTATGTTGTGAGGTGAAAAATGCAACAAAAATTAAATAATATGTGGCTTTATAGCTTTCTCTTAAAAAGTTTCGAATTCAAACTTTTCTTTGTAAGAAAGAAAAGTAATGCGATTGAAGATCTTCTTTCAATTCAGACAAAAATTTAATTTTTTCAGAAATATATATCGCACAGATTAAATCAAATCTAATTGATCGAAGGCTGAAGCATGTAGTTTTCCTTGGCAAAGCAAAAAGCCCCCATGGATTCAATTGGGACTTGTTACTGAGGAGGCGTCAACTCTGGTAGGAGTACTTTTCACCGCTGGGCCATTAATCCTCTGTACCAAAACGACTTCGTTTCTTTGAGCTTTGATTTTTTTTTTTTAATCCTTCCCCTCGTCGCTCCCTAAACAGCCTCCATCTCCACTTCACTAAAACAGAACACAAGAATGGGAAGCCCAAACCACAAACACACCAGAATCTTCTCTCCTTACCACCCCAATTCACCACCATGCACCCGCATCCACCAGATTGGGGCTCTCCTCTTAGTCGCCACCACTTTCTTCCTCACTCGTCTCTTCGATCACTCCTTCTCTACTTGCTATCCGTCCTCCTTAAATCACGACCACACATCACAAAACGTCGTTCACGTTTCCGACGGTGGATCTCTCTCCTGGCCCCAGCGAGGCTACGGCTCGTACCTCTCCCTCAAGATCTATGTCTACGAGGAAGACGAAATTGACGGATTGAAAGAACTCCTGCGAGGCAGAGAAGAAAAAATCTCTGCTGATGCTTGTGTTAAAGGCCAATGGGGAACTCAGGTAATTTCAAGTAAAATGCAAAGGCTTTCTATTATCGCTCATTCTGTTAAATTTTTTTTATTTTTTCGACTTCATTACAGGTTAAGATACACAGGTTACTATTAGAATCGAGATTTAGGACTAGAAACAAAGAAGAAGCTGATTTATTCTTTGTGCCTGCCTATGTTAAATGTGTACGGATGATGGGTGGTCTGAGTGACAAAGAAATAAACAACACTTATGTCAAGGTAAATTTTAAGAGTGATTTTTCTCTTCTTTGATTCAAATTGAAGCAGTAATTTTTATTGGCGATGTTATTTTCCAGGTATTGAGCCAATTGCCATATTTTAGACTATCAGGAGGCCGTGATCACATTTTTGTCTTCCCTAGGTATAATAATTCTTTGGTTTTAACTTGAATTGGCATGGATTCATTAGAATTCTTATCACATTATTCCTCTTCTATGTTTTTTGTGATGCTGATGCATATGTTTATGCTTTTGCGCGATTGCAGTGGTGCCGGCGCTCACTTATTTAGATCTTGGGCGACGTACATTAACCGTTCCATTATTCTTACTCCTGAGGTACTATTCGTACTTCTTTAACGTACTACATTTACTTGCTTGAGTTGCTAATATTTTTATATCGGTCCTAATTGTGTGCGATTTTGAAGCTTATGGCTTAAAGAATGTTGGGTTGTGTGTTAGTGTAGGGGGATAGGACTGATAAGAAAGATACGAGTGCCTTTAATACGTGGAAAGATATTATCATTCCTGGGAATGTTGAAGATGGGATGACTAAAAGAGGGGCAGCAATGGTTCAACCCCTACCGTTATCAAAGAGGAAGTATTTGGCTAATTATTTAGGCCGTGCACAAAAGAAAGTTGGTCGCCTGAAATTAATAGAGCTTGCAAATCAGTATCCAGATAAGGTATTATATATATATTAGTTTGTATAATTAGATGAGTTATGTTGTTCTGAGATTCCTTGATTATCCAAATGAGATTGTCTCTGTGTGTAGAAGAACATGTATAATCTTCGTTGTTGAGTTAGTTTTGGTTTTTGTGGGACTTGAAGCACAAATTCTGAAATATTCATGCAGTCCAGTATCCATCATTTTTGCTTTTGAAATGACCATGCTGAGCTGATCGGTCATATATAAAGCATGTTTTATTTATATGTTAGAACAGTCATAGTAGGAACATGAATGCTTTTGGTTTGGATATTTACAGGGATAGGCGTCACAATAGCTTTTTCTTGTGCTCACTTCATTGCATATTTTTGCACGTGCAAACTGAATCCAGTCATTATATTTTTTTGGCAGTGACTTTAGTCTGTGATTGAATTGAAGACGCTTGCATATTGTTCTTTTGCATTCTTTGGGCAAGGAACAGTCTTTATTGTGTTTGTGGGTTGTTAGTGCAATCTGTTTCACATACTCAACCTTATAACTTTGTTTCATTAAGATATTCTTTATAATGCATTAGATGATGATTACTGTCAATGCTCATATTTGTTTAAATGATATAGCATATACATAATGACATCATAAACAGTTGGAATCTCCAGAGTTGAAGTTCAGCGGCCCTGACAAATTTGGAAGGATGGAATATTTTCAACACCTGCGCAATGCCAAGTTCTGCCTTGCTCCACGTGGAGAGTCTTCTTGGACACTTCGGTTTTATGAGTCTTTTTTTGTGGTCTCTCTCTCTCTCTTCTTCTCTCTGTCTTGCACACACACTTACACATGGAGAGTCCAGTTGAAATGATTTTATGTTTTTACTTCACAGGAGTGTGTCCCGGTTATATTATCAGATCAAGCAGAATTTCCTTTCCAAAACGTGATTGACTACACTCAGATATCAATCAAATGGCCATCTACTCGAATAGGGCCAGAACTTTTGGAGTATCTAGAATCAATTCCAGGTCAAATTCAATATGCTTGCTTCTTCCATGCCTTGATATTGTTCTGGATCATACAATTTAACTTGGAGTTTGCTTTTCAGATGAAGATGTAGAGCGGATGATAGCTGTAGGTAGACAAGTAAGATGCTTGTGGTTTTATGCTCCAGAATTTGAATCTTGTTCCGCAATGCAAGGAATAATGTGGGAGCTTCAGAGAAAAGTAAGGCAATTCCACCAATCAGCTGAGACATTCTGGCTGCACAATCAAACTATTGTTAACAGAAACTTGGTTGAGTTCTCCAGCTGGAAGCCTCCCATGCCTTTGCCCTGATCGTTCTTGAAATGCTTGTGGTTCCTTTACATCCCTGATTCTTTGATTTTGGCTATGTACTTTTACTTTCTATTTGCCAAGCGCCACTGATTCATACCCTGCAGAACATTTTTTTCTGATTCTCTTCTTTTTTCCTTCTTTTTTATTAAATATGAATTTTATGTATAGGCATTATAGACAATGTATTGTAACTTGAAGAGAAATTGTTAATGATCGCATAGGCGACTGTATTTTTGTTAAAATGGGACATTTGTGGATTTATGGGATCGATCCTTGCAAATCATTGAATTCCGTTATGCGTTTGGTTCCATTTCCCATCGTTTCTTAACCGAATTTGGTATTTGGCTATCACAATCAAGTTTCGTGCACGGGTGGAATGTGATTCTCAGATTGTAATTCACCTGAAATATGGTTTGCGTCTGTGCAATAAATCCCATGGTTTCTCTTTCAGGAATTTGGCTTTGTACGAGAGAAGTATATTTGATAAAGAAACCGCTCCAGTCGCCGTCTTAGATTCCGTAGTGCTCTTGATCTAGCTGTGTTCACTGTGATTTCTTAATGCCGAAATATCTATGCCACGTGTAGATATGCCACGTGTGAGGCCAGAATTGCTGATTTTTTTAATCAGAGAGAATCCCAAATTTGTACAGCTATTGAACCACGTCCACAAATCACTGGCAATAGGCACTTCATTTAATTTCTGCACCATTCTCTCAGCACGAGGAATAGCCTCTTGAATTTTTCACTTGGATCGGAATAAATTAGCAGCACGCAAAGCCTTTTCAACTGTGAATCCTGTTCTTTAATCTGCTAGAGAGAGTACAAATATCGATTTCCTCATTTCTCTACCAGCTTTTAAGTTCTAGAGCAGATGGGAACCAGCTTACTCGCCAGCTGTGGTCTTCCCTGGAGATATCATCAGCAACGAATAGTTCCTTACAACCATTTGCTTGGTCATTCTTCACAAGGAAGCCTCTCATCAAGAGCTAAAGTGACAGCGGAGTTCAGAGAGAGTGGCTCTCTTGATGGAGAAAATGAGAAATCCTCTGGGTTTTTGAAGAGAAGGTCAGTTTTGGTTTCTGGGGTTTCTTTGGTTTCAACTTCAGTTATGGGATCTGGAAGAGAAGGGCTGGCAGTTGTGAAACAAGGCCTTTTAGCTGGACGGATACCTGGCTTATCTGAACCTGATGAACAAGGTTGGTTTTCCTAGTTCTGCATCTACATGTCCATTTGAGTTCTAGAAATCTCTCTCCATATAAACAACAACATGCAACAGTTGGTGATAAGGTCAATAGTCTGATTCGCTTGTTTCAGAATGAAGATGCAATCATGTCGATCCAGTTGTTGTTATTATTGTTGTTGTTGTTGTTGTTGTTGTTGTTTTAAGATTAAAAACTTTACCCTTGGCCTTTCAGCTTTTGCTGGGCGACAGATCTTATGCTGTTTAAAGTATCACACTTGTCAGTCAGTAAAACACTGAATTGAGCATATATAATCTAGTCACCAAATTCAAATTTTAGCATCTCGTGTAAATTCCACGGGAGCATGAAGCGACACAAAGAATGCTAATTCAACAAAACGCCTTTGAGCTGCATTTTTTCATCCCTTTCTTGGTTCTGTGTGAATGGTGAACTTCATTATACAAAATATGCTCAGACAGGTTGGAGGACATACCGCAGGCCAGATGACAAGTCTGGAGGGCATGGTGTTGGATGGAGTCCAATCATCCCTTATCTTTTTTCTGTGCCTCAAGGTTGGGAAGAGGTAATTGTCTACTCTGAAGAATTACATGCCAGTTTTCTGTGGTTGTAGTTTTAACTCTCTACTTGTGAAAAGCTGAAAGCCATGTCTCAAGCATTGTTCCATAAAAAAAAAACGTTTTCACTGAATCGGATTCTTTGCGTCTGTAACAGGTTCCAGTATCAATAGCAGATCTTGGTGGTACAGAAATTGATTTGAGATTTGGCAGCTCCAAGGAAGGACGCCTTTTTGTCATTGTAGCTCCTGTTCTCAGATTTGCAGATAGTGAGTTCCAACCCCTTTAGCATTCTCTTGGGTGCTTCCTTACTCAACATCCCCCACCCCCTTCTCTCTCAACTCGGCTTAGCAGTCTCCATGATTCCTACTTATTCCGGTCATCCTACGATTTATACAGATCTAGGTACAGATGCTACAATTGAACAAATTGGACCTCCAGATAAAGTAATTAACGCTTTTGGTCCAGAAGTAATTGGAGAGAATGTAGAAGGGAAGGTTCTAAGCATGAACGTAGCAGAACATTCTGGAAGAAAATACTACCAGTATGAGCTAGAGCCACCTCATGTACTGATCACTGCAACTGCAGCCGGGAATCGTCTCTACTTGTTCAATGTCACTGGGAGTGGTGAGGAGATCATACAATTTCCATGCATATCTTGTTATAAACTATAAAGCGAAAATTATGAGCTAAATTATGTTCTCCGTACTTTTTGCAGGTCTTCAGTGGAAGAGACACTACCAGGATCTGAAGAAGATTGCGGAATCCTTTCGTGTTGTCTAACCAAGCTCTTCTCTCGATTAAGGTAGCCGAGGAGAAGTAGGCAGTTTTCACCAACAATGTAATTTTCAACAAGAAAAACAAATAGTTACAATAGTGTATTTACAGAACAATCGAGTTACATTTATTTTGTTATTCAGAGAAACTTTGAGAAAAGTTCTGTAGAGGTTCAAAAAAAAAAACATGTATTTAAGGCACAAATGAATTATATATATAAAAAGAATTAATGATCTATTTGATCTAACGTTAAAGAGAAGTTCTTGATGCATGCCCATGCAGAAAACCTCCGCATAGAGCCCTGGAGCTTCTATGTTGCATTTTTAACTGACAACCATTTGCAAACACTGGCCTTCACAAGTTTCGTGAATCCGATGGATGGAATCCCTATTTGATCAAAAAGAGCGCCATCTATTGCCCACATTCTTCTTCGAGTGAACCTCCTTTTGTACTATTTTATCAAAGACAGTGACAGGGAGTGGTGCAACAGTGTCACTGGAGACTTCGGCCCAGATGCTTAACCAGATATTTTACCGGTCCCTGTTGACCATGGATTCAAACCTCAAAGCTGAGCGACCTAGATCAGACATGAAACTGTTGTTCTGTACTTTCAAGCATAATTGAACTGCGTCCAGAAGTCTTTGGGAGCCCTCTATTCACGATGCCCATACTTATCCTTCCAGCCCTCTCCCAGCTACCAGAACTAGCATAAATGTTCAGCAGCAGAGAATAATAAGGATCATTTCCAGAATCAATATCAGAACCCGGTGAGCAAACATCGTTCATCACCTGCTCTACTACATCAGTATCCAAATGAATTCGACAAGCTCCTAGGAAAGCACCCCAGACTGTATCGTTTGGTTTCATTGGCATTCTCTTGATCAAACAATAAGCATCCTGTATTCTTCCTGCTCGTCCCAAAAGATCCACCAGACAGCCATAGTGCTTGATACTTGCTGACAACCCATATTTCTCCATCTTAGAAAAAATCTCCAAACCATCATCTACAAACCCTCCATGCACACAAGCCGAGAGAACAGACAGAAATGTTATCTCATCAGGCTTCTCATTTGACTCTTCCATTCTCCTGAAGAACTCTAGAGCCTCTTTGCTTTGTCCATGAATGGCAAAACCTGATATCATAGAATTCCAGCAGGCATTATTTTTATTGGTCATCCGTTCAAAGATCAATCGTGCATCAGTTAAATCCCCACATTTTGCATACATATCCACTAATGCATTCACAACAAACTCATTAAGCTTCATCCCTTTAGTATATATCATCTTATGGACATCTTTACCAACATATAATAGACCCAACTGAGCACAAGCAGATAAAACACCGACAACTGTGACTTCATCAGGCTCATAACCCTCATTTTGCATCTTCCCAAATGCATCCAAAGCTTCCTCACAAAACCCATTCTTCGTGTAACCACAGATCAAAGAATTCCAAATCACCAAATTACTACCAGGAACTTGATCAAAAACAGCCCTTGCCTCCTTGACATTACCTATCTTACAATACCCTGAAATCATGGACGACCAGGCAAAGAAATTCCTCTCTGGCATCTCTTCAAAAAGCAACCTTGCAGCTTCCATCTCTCCTTTGCTCGCGTAGCCATCAATTATCACAGTCCAAGTGACCACATTTTTCAATTCAAATGGTACCTTATTAAAGATACGCCTAGCAGTAACCATATCTCCACTTCTAGCAAACCCATCTATCATTTGAATCCAAGAAACTGCATTACTCGTCGACATTTTGTCAAACAAAACTGATGCTGATTTCATGTCCCCAACCTTAACATACCCACTAATCATGGCATTCCACGTCACAACATTTCTCTCAGGCATATACTCAAACAGTTTACGCGAATCGAATATATCACCACATTTTGCATACATTGAAACCAATGATGTCCCAATTTGTACATTAGAATCCACTCCATGCTTTATTGCTTCACTGTGCAAAGATTTCCCACAATTTAGCATGGAAATAGAAGAAGTGCAAGCTTTAAGGACCGCAGGAAGTAAACCCAAAAAGTAGATTCCTTTGCTTCGGATTTGATTGTATAAAACAAAGGCTTCTGTGTGTGATCCCTGAGAGATGTGTTTTCTTATAAGGGAAGACCAACTGGGGTCTGTTGTTGTAGCACAAGATTGAGAATTTTGGTATTTGTTGCAGTGTTGGTTTTGTTTTTGAGAATAGTGTGTGATTTCATGTTTAATACTCATAGAGCTACTGTAATTTTGGAGGGAAATTATGCTGCTTCAAACAGGAAGTGAGGCAGCAAGTCTCGCTTTTTCTCAAGTAACATCTGGCGTTTTTGACAGAAAAATTATAATTGTAGAACTAGGAGAAATTTTATAATATACTAGAGTAACCAATTACTCCAACCTAAGTTATGAATTTTTTTTATGAGAATCCAAACTCTTTACAAAAATGAACCTTCATTTTTTCAACCTTTTCCAATTCAATCCTAACTCTTTGCAAAATCGTACCTTCTTTGTCCCCAATTTTTCTAATGGAATCCTAATTCTATAACTTTCAGAGGACATAATTTGTTTAGCCTTAAAATTTTCATTCATGAAATGCCGAATTTAATGCAAATCTTCTTGCCTTGATTTAACCATTTATGTTGTCAAAGTTTTTTGTTTTGCCAAATTACATCATAAACAATATCTTGTGTATTTTATTGTTTTAATTACCTACGTGCTGATAACAAAGTTTAATTCTTTAATAATTTTTTTTTCACTTTAAATTTAGAGAAAACTGCTTGTAGTGTCGATTGCCAAATTGTACGAATATAACAAACATTCAATTTTCGACTCAAATGTGAATACTGAAGTGTTAAATAAGAAAACTGAGGAAAATTTTGAAACTCTAAGCAGGATAAGCAAAACTGCAAAACTATATTTGTAGTGCCAGATGCCAAACTGGCATCGGAAATTATGTTGGGCAGAACAACAAGAAATGCTTCTTTTCTACCGACCAGACTCTGACTAGGGCGAGAATGCATGAACATCTTATCTAATAATTTAATCTTTTATCTTATTCATTAAAAAAATATTATATTTATCATTTATTAAGAAATCATCACATAAATTTTATTATTCATGCATTTAATACTTGTTAAATTTAATTTATCAAAAAAAAATTTATTTTAATCCCTGTAATTTTTTAAAATTTATCCTTTTTTTTTTGCATTTTGATAATTTATTTATAAGTTTTTTTTTGTTTTTTAAGTGATCATAAAAAATATTTTGATTTTTGATTTTTAAATTTTATGTAATTAGATTTTTATATGTTAACAAAAAATTTAAATAAATTAATAGACATTAATAGAGTAAAGAATGAATACTCGTATCCTAAAATCATTTTAGAGTTACGTATTTTTTTTATCCTCAATCATTTTAATACCGTTAAATATTTTTAATAAATATTTATACTCGTTTTATATCCCGCTTATTACCATCCTCAGCTCTGACGCACCCAAAACCAAGTGTGCAATAGTCTTCCTATCTCCCGTGGCTGACGGAACAAAGCATCCTCAAATTCTTACAGGACTGTAAAACTATAAAACAATTAAAGCAAGCCCATCTCCAAATCTTAGTCAATGATCTCAAAGATGTTTATAATCAAATGAAGAGGTTCGATGTTAAGTATAATAGTTAAAGCTTGAGTTTTCTCTTGAAGGGTTTTGATTCATTTGAAGCTTTAAACGATGGGATGGTGATTCATGGTGAGGTTTTGAAGATGGGATGTGTGATGGACCTAGTGATACCAGGCCTCCAATGAAGTTTCATTACGTTCGGAGGAAGCATCGAGGGTTCCAAAGAGCTGGATTGACTTGACAAAATGGGCCGAAGATATCATTTTTGAATGGGCCGAAGATATCCATTCTGTTGGGGATTAGTTTGTTATCAGTTTGTTACTTATTGCTGGTCTGTTGTTTGTTTCGGCTGATTGTTATTGCTGACCTGACTAGTTTGTTAGCTGGTCCAGCCTACGTATAGCAGGAGTGGGAAAGATATGAGGTACGGAGATGATTATTCTATAGAGTGAGGTAATTGGAGAGATGTAGTCTTTAGAATAGCTACCACTACATTGGTTACTGTAACAGAGACTCTGTTAGCTATATTACATTGATAAGAATCACCTTTCCTATTTCTTGTGTTCTACCGATATATGCTACTTTTCTTGTAAATTCCTTTCTGTTCTGCGAGTGAGTTCCTATCAATGTGGTTCTTGTGTGTTTGTTCAAATTTCCCTTTTGGACTTTTATGTTAAAACTGGGGGAATTTGTGTTACGCTTTTAGGGTGTTTGAGGAAATGCCTGTGAGAGATGTGGTTTTTTGGAATTCAATGATCAGTATGGTGAATGGTGAGGTTGGACCTGCCACGAGGTTGTTTGATTCCATGCCGAAGAGAGAGAGGGATGTTGCCACATGGAATTTTGTAGTCACGGGGCTTTCTAAGGCTGGGAAAATGGAGTTGGCACGTTCGGTTTTTGAGAGGATGTTGGTGAGAAGTGAGGTTTTGTGGAATTCTATGGTTTCAAGATATGTAAAAGTGGGTGATGTGAAGACTGCACGGAACATTTTTTATCAGATGCCGGAGAAATCTGTGGTTTCTAGTACGGCGTTGATAACTGGGTACACTATAGTTGGTAATCCTGAATCCGTTAGCTATTTGTTTTATCAGATGCCAGTAAAATGTAGTTACATGGAGTTCTATGATTTCAGGTTTTGTTCATATTTGCATGTTTGACGAAGCTCATAACATTTTTCGTCAGATGTTAATACATGGCCAGTGTAGGCCTGATGCAATTACATTGGTCAGTGTGCTTTCTGTTTGTTCTCACTTGGGATATCTTGAATATGGAAAGTGGATTTATTCCTATATTAAGAAGAATACGATTGAATTGTCAAATCCATTGGGGAATACTTTGATAGATATGTTTGCAAAAGGTGGTGATGTAGAAATTGCAAAAGGGGTTTTTAATAAGATGGTGAATAGGTGTATAGTTACATAGACACCAATGATCTCAGGGCTAGCTGTTAATGGGCAGTGTAGAGAAGCTTTAGATATCTTTGACAGTCTGTGTTCAGAAGGAACCAAACCAGATGATGTCATCTTCATTGCTGCTCTGACTGCTTGCACTCACGGAGGTTCGGTTGAGGAGGGTAAAACAGTATATAACCAGATGGTGCAAGAGTTCAATTTCAAACCATGGATTGAGCATTATGGTCGTATGGTTGATCTGCTTGGTCGAGCAGGGAAGTGGGAAGAAGCAACCAGGTTTATAGAGAGCTTGCATTTGGAGCCAAACACCGTCATTTGGGCCAGCTTGCTGGGTTCTTGTAGGATTCATGGGAAAGGCGAGTTGTTGGAATTGTTTGACCGGAAGAATCTTGGATCAGGTCCCTTCAAATTCTAGCTATCTAAAGCCGATACCGGATACAACTGCATCAATTGTTCCTGGTTGTAGCTTAGTTCAAATAGGGAACAAGACTCATGAGTTTGTTGCAAAAGATACCAGGCATGAGAAAAGGAGGGAAATATTTGGTGCTTTGGATTGTTTATATGAACATTTAAAACAAATAAGTGATACATCGTGAGGGTTGCTTCAATGCACATGGTCTTTTGCTTAAGTCTTGTCTAACAAAAGGTGGCTTGGAATACCAAGTCTGATCTGATAAATGGTGTCTCAAAAAGAAGGAATATGGAACTGATTACCTTCAAGAAAAATGAAACTGAAAGGCAATGCGAGGAATAAGGGAAAGGTGATAGTTTCTTGAATCGTGCTCATATTTTGGATCTTGCTGTTTAGGTATGTCAAAGAGATAACTGATTATGTTTCTGAAGGATTGGGGTGTGAGAGCTTGATCGACTCCATCACATTGCAATCTTCCTTGTCTTCATGGATTTATGGATGTTCTACTTTCTGGCAGTGGCAAAATGCACACCTGTAATGCTCTGGTTTCCGATACATTAAGTTCTCTTGTCCCTGGAATACAAATATCGGGGGTCTGATACAAGCCTACAACATTTCTGATGCCACCTATGCATATCTCGTCTTCTTTTTCTCCCATCATATGAACTGGTTTATCTTCTTTACATTTGTGTTCAACAATGTTGGAAGTTGAATTTCATGAAAAATGCAAATCAATTTCTAGTTGTCTTGTCTGAACTTTTTGAAGCATTGGTATCCGGATTATGCTAAGGAAGCTTTAGATTTGTGCAATTCTGATGCCTTGAGTTGCCATTTCAGGTCTGTTTAGCCTTGCCCTCGCGGTACTGAAGATCATAATCAATGCAGATTCTGAAAGGTACCACAATTCACCAGGATTGTTCTGCTATTCATGATTGATAGTTAATATACTTGAGAAAAAAACATATGTAATCCTTAAGTTTTCCGGGAAATCAATTATGAATGTTCGTGATAAGCCAAGCACACGTCTTATGATCAGTCATTAGTCTTAGGCTAGGAGGTGAGGCCTAGCATAACTGTAAATATACCTTGGTTGGGATGAGTCGAATTCAATTGAACCTACAACAGCCGCTGCCATTTAAAATGTTAAGTTTCAGTTGAACCAAAAAATGTGGAGGGAAAGCGAAGAGATTGAAGGTTAATGATATCCTAACTTTGTTTGGAAATGGGATGTTTAATGGAGAGAAAAGGAAACTGTGGTTAATTTTTAACCTTTATTTCCCTCCAAAGCCTCGCCCTTAATTTGGGACAGTGAAAGAGAAGGAATGGTTTTATTATTTTAATAGTTAACTTACTATGTTATTTTTTATTTTTTGAAAAAATCCAATATTATACTTTTAACATGTGAAATCATTTTAATTTATTTGTCATTTCATCTCTTTCCTCCAATTAAGAGGGTATTAATTTCATTTAATATTCATTGTCTTTCATCATCTTTTCTATCCCAACAAAGAAAATTATTTCTCATCCATTCCTATTATTTATCCAAATTAGGGAGCGTAAAAATCTTCAATTCCCTTCCCTTCCCATCCTATCACAAATTTTCCAAACACTGCTGATAAGGGGATGGTATTCTTTTGTGGCGCTCTTTCCAGATGCAGTGCTGGAAGGCTACTATAGACGAGCAGCCACAAATCATCAGATAGGTGGAGAAGAGGAAGAAACCCTGTACAAGCATCATCTTTCAATTTCAAAAACTGTTGGAAGTGACAGCCGGGAGAGAGCTATCATCTTTGCACTTATTCTAAGTAGTGCAGGAAAATGGCATCTTGTGAAATTGGAAATAACAAATGTGAAGCTGCCATTTTTTCATGTTGACTTTCCATTGAAAAAAAAGGAACTTAATCTTTTCTCATGTCAGGTAAGGTAGCCTTCAAACTTCTTAGTGCCATTTTGATGCCATGAGCACGCATTTTTTTCAGTAAGCACAATTCATAGTAAACGTTACAATCAAATATAGCATCCGATTGACTATAAAAATTAGGTGGGCTTGTTTGCTTTTTTGGCCCAAAAGCCAATCAATTTTATTCGCCAGAACAAAAGCTGTCTACAGCGTTCATATGAATCGCATGTCCAAAACTTAAAAGCCAGCTCTCTCTTTTTTTCTTTTTCCTTTTTTTGACAAGTTATATTTTGGAGCTTTTTACAAGTTTTTCTATTTTTTTAATATTATTTATAAAAGAATTTCATATCAACAGCTCTTTTAATTAAAATTGATACTAAACATCACTATAATTATAGTCACAATCACAACCATAAAAATTATAGCTATTGTTAGTATCTAATTTCTAACACAAACGTATCCATATAATTAAAATGTGAAAAAAAAATGTAATTTCCTGTTTGTATCGTCCATAAGTTTTGCCGAAATTCTCCAAATTCCTTTGGGTAATGAATTAATCCTCACCTAGCGTTCATATTCTACGTTTTTATGAAATCTTAGTTTGGGGGCTTCACATCTATATCTCTTAATAGTTTTGCTGATTAGGCCTGGATGTGCAGACTGTGGACTCTACTTGAGTTGATTCAAATGGTTCTTTAGCGAGAATTGGACATCTATATCTTTTATTTGTCTCTTTACTTTTAGAATACATAAACATGCAAATTCATTGACCAAGGACAGTCCCTTGAGAGAATTTATTCCATTTCTCGAAGCCTATTATAAGGTGGCAATGTCCTTACACGTATGTATCCAATTCTCAAAAGATCAAGACAAAAGATCAAGGAAGATACGCTGCTATGATAATACTCCAGCATGAAGCGATGTCAAAATTGAAAATAAACACACATTTTTCACATATTTGGTTGCTTATTTTCCGTAGTGCAGAGATGTGTAATTATTGATGAGAGTTATATAATTCAAATTAGTCAATCAAATTTTAAGAACTTCAAGTGAATAATGGATCGTAATGTACTCAAGAACGATATATATAGCAAAGAATCCTATCCAGCAGCCAATTTTCTGAAGGAGAATGTAATGTTTAATTACTTGATTTGTCTATATATGATGTGATGTTTACTGGTTACTTGCATCGAATGCTCGTTATGCTCTTAGTTCTACTAAAGCAATCCTTCTAGTTAAATTTGGGTACGGCATCTAATGGTGATGTGAGTTTGGAAAGTAGAGCATCCAGGGTAGGTCCTGACGGAAAAGCAGGAATTCTATTATTTCTGCAAGGGACAACACAAGATTCACTTTCCTTCTAACATTGCCGTTTTGAACTGGGAAAAAACAAGGAATTTACACTTATAATTACCTGGTTCATGCCTAGGCATATGTTTTTGAGCTGCTGAGCACGATAGGTGCCATGAGAAGTCGTGCCAGCCATGCTTCACCTTCGATGACCATGAAAAGTGACGCGTGTAATAGAGAGAGTTCCTGGTGGTAAAGTTTGGCGGTTCTCTTTCTCTCTAAAAATTCTAAAAACTGAACTGAACTAACTAATGAAATTCATGATTTTTGTTTTTATCTGTATTTATTTTGTTAATTTTACCCACATGTTGAGAGGAGAGAGTAACAAATGAGAGCTGCTTTAACTTTAACGTTGTAGTATTTATTATTTTTTTATGGAGAATGTCCAAATCCTATTTATATATCTGCTAATGAACCAGAAAACAAAAATCATAATGCCAGCCGCTGTACAAAAACTATAAAAAAGAAAGGAAAAATACAAACTACTACTGCTCCTTTAAGAAGTCGAGTACAAATTTACAATCAGATGCTCTCACTTTTTTTTTTTTTCTTAAGAAGCCGAGTACTTTGATCTGCATGAAAGATTTAACGCTAGCTAGCTTTGATTAAATTTAAGATGTGGACGTAGTATCCTTGTAGTTTCGCAGACGCTAATCATTGATCAGAGGTTGGACCATAAATTGACCGATGGTGACCAATGCCTCACTAAAACAAAAAAAAACACTTATAGTTACATGATTTTTATGTTATTTTTTAAATCTTTAAATTTTTTTTTAACATTTTACCTTTTGAAAAAAATAAAGTTTAGAAAATTAATAGTCATAAACAATGTTGAACAAAAAATTGGGTAAAAGCTGGAGACAATTTCAGGAATTTTTACATTTTGCGTACTTCATTTCTTTTACTGATACATGATCAGGGAAAAATTGGGAAAAGGTCTCGCTTGCCTGTGCACGGGAATGTGCTGCTCAATTAATTAAGTTATCTAAAACCAGAATTTCCACGCTGATATTTAGCAAAACAGAATGCTGATGAAATAAAAGAATCCCCCTTTTTATTACTTTGCTTTCTTCCCTTTGTACTTCCCGCAATTCTTTTTGGTTTGTAAATTGGAGCTTACAAATCAATCTCATTAAAAGCTAGATCAGTGAATTTGTTCACTCTAAATGCTAACAAAGACTTTGTGCCAAAGCCCAGTTCTTAGGCTTTGCACGTTCTAACTAAAACAATTTTTATATGCACGAAAAATTATTAAAAGTTGTATTTCGTTTTTACACAATAATACATAATTCGTTAGAAATATAATTAATGGGCGATTTCATTGTGAGAACAAGGAATCAAGGATCCCAGCTGCATGTCTAGATTCCGAGAATCATATTCTACAGCAAGAATAGAATAAATTAAAATCTACGTGTTTAAATACTTCATACTGTGGTATCCTGCTTCACGGGGCACTAAAGATACGGCCAAATAAAAGAATCAAAGAGAAGAAAACATAATAAATGCTAGTGAACTTGCGTCCACAACTTAATTTCATTTTTCCCATTGAGCGCACACCTATAATAATTCGAATAGAATAGGACATTAAATTTTGTTCCTATCGTTTACACGATTATAAATGCGTAGGTCTCATATGTGGCCAAGCCTTGCCTAGCTAAGATAATCCACTACATGTTTTGCTGCAGATCAACCAGTAAGCACGATGAAGTTAGAGCCCTCCCTTTGAGGGCAATTTGCATTCAAAGCCTTCAGTCTTAGATCTTGTTTATGTTGCGGTGATTAGTTATGATGGGTCCCTAGGTTAAAGCTTGATGGGGACTGCAATCGACGGCTTTTTCTTTTCTCTGTTTTGAACAGAGCACTTCTTGTAGTTTTTCTTGTCATTTACTTTTATAAATTACAAACCTGGTTATTAATTTTAATAACTTTTACAATTTTACAAACAATTCGGATTTATGAACTTTCTCACTACATTTTTGGATATGTTCAGAAACCTAATTTCTTCTTTTTCGAGCAAAAAGCTTCTAAAGGATCCAAATTAACAACACACCATAAGAATATAGGATACAATAACGCTCCTCGTTAATTTACTAAGAAAACCATAGGAAAATGTTATTTTCATGGCTAATAAATTCTCACTAAGCTCCAAAACCACTAGATCACCTTATCTGCATATGAACATGCTCAACCCAAGGGAGGAACCAAACTCTAACCAAGTTAAGGCAACAATGTGAATGGCTCATAATGCAAGTTCCAATAATCCTGAGCAGCAAACAGGCTAAATACATTCATCTGGTTCCTCGTTGGACCACCAATCTCATCAATTGCATTTTGACACATGATGCACCTCTTGCGCGACACTGTAACAAATGAGGCCTCGACAGTGAAGGAGGCACTAATTCTGGTCAGCATCAAACTTGACAGTTCGCAGGATTACCTGCACTTTGGGGGAAGGCAACAAAGTTGCCGATTATCTCGCTAATTTGGGGGCCAAGCAATCTGAGCAGGCGGATAAATTAACCTCCAGGCATTGGTGATATTATTCCAGCAAATTTGGTTGGAAAGCCTATGCATCCTAGATTGGTAGGGATTTAATG